TACATGTATTCAACCCCACTTATGCCTTCTACTACCCCATTGGAAGCCTCGGGACGCTACACCGAAGGCATCAGAACCGGCTGAACTGAGGAGAGCAATAAGGATATAGATAACTTTATGGCTCAAGAGGAGGGTTAATAAATTATATGTTTATGCTACTATCTCTATGACTGACATGCACTTATAAAGCAGTAGTACATAAATTAGAAAGAATTGTCAATTTATTAAAACTCAGCATGCACTTATCCAAAAATTGATGGGTTCTATCTTGCGTTCTTTTGCGACAGCACAACCTAGTCCATTTGGCCCCTGGCAAAGCAAAAAAACCAAAGAAACATTGATCGTTAATTGTTAATTAATCAAACATTAAAGATTAAAATGAGATTTATTGGCCGAAATCTGTGCTAAACCAAATCGTTGTTCAGTAGAAAAGGCTCCCAAACTTGTTTATACTGTGTAATCTGGTCCCTCAGGGATAGAATAAGGCGGTCGCGGTGTATGCTCTTTTAGTTTTGTGGCTATGTTGTTCTGCCCTCTAAATGAGACCCTTTCTCTCCCATGGCACGATGGAGGATTAAGTCGATGCTTCGTTTGGACTCTTTCTTCATCTTTGTCAATTGCTCTCTCTTGTATTTCTCTAATAACTTATACAACTTGTCTCTATCGCAACTCACGGCGACGTGAAAATATTACAAAGTCAGTGGGACACAGATTTCAAGTTGTTTTTTCAGTTTTACTCATACTTCTAACGTTGTCACATGCCTTTATTTACATAAATTCAAAGGCTTTATCCGGGTTTGCAATTCTATATGCCATTGGTATGCCCTTTTCGTGGATCATTAATGTATCACTGCTTGCAATTGAGCGTCGGCGCATTTGTCCGCGACTTTATGGAATGCGGCATGGATTTCCGCTACTTTTATTTTGGACCGTTAGCTTTGTCCTCGTTAATCTTCCCCTCACATCTATTGGCGGCATTTCGTGGTGGTGGAAACTTGAAGAGTATTTTGACTTTTTATCCACAGTCATTAACTTGCCTTCTTTAGTGACTCAGACAGAATAGAACTGGCGGTTTGGATTTCTGAATATAGCTGCACTCTTCTCATTTTCGTACTCGGCATTATGGCTCCTGGAACCCCTAATTATGCCATGCTTTACCACCAATTGCTAGACGAGAATAATGCAACACAAAGCGTCCCTCCTACTGGCCGTTGGGCTATATTTAAACGTCGTGCATTGATGCTGCTTCCCTTTATTTGGCCCAGGTCGAAATACCACTTGCAGCTAAATGTCATCCTCTGTCTTATCCTCCTAGTCATTGCTCGAGTTGTCAATCTATACGTCCCCATATTTTACAAAAACATTGGTAAGTTATTGTTGACAATCATTTTTATGTATCTAGTAAACAGTTTAACGCCAAATGTGACGACAAATCACAGCATGGATACTGTTGTGCAGCAGATGAGGTCCGGTGACTTCAGCTACATATATATGACAATTGCCGGACCAAATGGACTCGTGTTTAGGTGGGATCTGGTTCTCTACTACATTGGGATTCGCGCTGTTCAGGGGGTCGGATCTCCTAGTTCGGGGCTCCTAGGGGCTATACAGGCAATCCTCTGGATATCTGTGGATCAGAATTCTGCTCGCATGTTGGGAGTCTATCTATTCAAGCATCTACATGAGTAAGCAATCTCTTTGCAAATAATTATGATCTCAACAAATTCTGTGAAGATAAGCGTGAAAAGTGCCTCGACTTATTACCTATTTTATTTGCTTAACTTGTTTTGTGAGTTTAAAGTCGTTGTTCAGGTCTGCGGTGGCCTACACTGCTACCAAAGTCTTGCTTACTACAACCCTATCCATAGAGCAAACGATGTGGAAAAACACCAAAGTAGCAATGAGGTAATTTTTTGCTGTCACATTGCGACTAATAGTGATAGTTTGCCTTGTGTGATTGTCTTGGCGCTAAACTTGATAGCGCCGACAGATGTGTACGTCAGTTGCGGGCATTTTTTTGGCACGTAGGCTTCCATTCAGTCTACGTTAAATTCCCCATCTTTGAATTTTCTCCTCGGCCTCTTGAAAAGGTCTTATCCATTTCTGTGACACAGGTCGGTGATGTAAACATACGCGTCCACATCAGTAGTTTGTGGTACCACTAATTGCCACTTATGTTACGACAGTCGTCGTTGTGTGGCCAGTTTTTGCGCATGACCCAGTCTTCGTGCTACTGTCACTGAGGCTCGAACGGTGGGGAAATAGCTGGCGCCAGTCGTATAACATGGCCATTTCTCTACCCCCTAACCTTTTCGCGTTTACGATACTGTCTCGGCCATTGTGACAGTTCTGGGGTAACATAAGGAAAGGATTTAATATCTCGTCAATTTTGATAAATAAAGTCACCATTGCTCTTGTTTACTACCTGATCCTGCCTAGAGAGTGTGTCGATCACACTGTCTGCAAATTAGGCCTTGCAGGCAAGACTTCATTTAATGAACATTTATGTAGTTTTGTTCTTTTTGGCTATAAAGATGGGGACAAATAATTAAAGAGGGTTATCAGATGGATCACCAGATTTTATCGAGTCTTTCTTTGGGACTTTCATAATGGGCTTGATCTTCTCAAGTTGTATTTTCAAGCTGAACTCGGCTTTCTCCCATTCCTTTGCCTCATTTTAGACAGTCATTGAGTTGGCACCTGTCACGGAAGACGGGCGCAATGCTGCGTATCGTAGATCGTGGAACGTCAAGTGTTTCCAGTGTGTTGAATTATCTTTTCTTCAGTATTATGCCTACTGTCGTTGATATTGTCGTTGGTATTTCCTACTTCATCACCGCCTTCAGTGTCTGGTACGGTCTCATCGTCTTCGTCACCATGTCGAGCTACATCGGTGAGTGAAAACTTAGTTAATACCATCTCATCAAGCATTGCCAAAAGCTATTTTTGCTGTTTCTTTTCCTAACTTAAAGTGCTAAGATAACCAGATAAGAAGTTCAATAAGGGCCTTGTAATTAGGTTGACCAATAAGATTTTCTTTAATGTCGTGGATTAGTCTTGTCATTAGGTGGCAAATGCCAAAGCGGGTGCGATTTGAGGCTTTCTCTTTTTTTTCGAAACATTATGGGCGATGGTGGTGAGGAAGGAATGGGGTAGCAGAATTTGCCATTCTGGTGTGGATTGACACCCCTTTGTTAAGAGGTCCTCCCACAATGCTACTATTCAGTTAATTTAAGTAGTTAAGGCCCAAACAACTTGCACTACCTACTTCACTCATCCCTTTCCCCTATCTTCTTCCCAAATTTAGACGAGATTGCTTAGGCGGCCTGAGTGTTGTCGATACTACTTATCAGAGCAGTGACGTGGTTAATGTGGCTATGATACGATGGCTGATCTTCTGGGATAAGAGGAAAGGCATTGCCAGTTCTTCCTTTGCAAAAGGAAGTTAGTGTTGAAGTGGGATTTCGAATACAAATATGGTGTCTAATGTACAAAACTATTTGCGGCTCCGATCAAAGCACCAATGCATCTGACAATGGCATACTTGCATTTTACTCCGAAGCCCCTTAGCACGAAGGGATCATAGTCTATATTAGGCTGTGAACATATTTGAACTGTCGAGGAAAGCTTTTACCGAATAAAATTTGGATTTTTCTAGATATGCAGTCACAATTTAGTAGTCTGCGGCTGTCAACCCGTGGTGGGAGGGAAAGTCTTATTCACATCATCTCGGCTGCTTTATGCCAACTCTAGTTTTGACATCACCGCATTTTCACTATTAACAGCGTCTCTATTGTGAACTGCAAAAATTCGACTTTTGCGTAGCGATCTGTTGTTTCAACCAATCTGCTTTTGCATGCACACGATTTAATACATCTAGTTGTTTCTCATCAGTTATGAAGCTGATTTGATGTGGGAGTGGTGCAAACTGCTTACCTCCATGAATCGAGCGTTCCATGAAAAGCTTTCCTATTTGAGCATTTTGGAGGTCATGTATTCACGCAATGTCACACTTGCTCACACGCTAACTGATTGAAGGTCGACTAATTGTCAGAAATGTCTCTGCTTAAGGAGTTCGAGGGACTGATTACTGTGGTTGCCTCAAAAGTCATCCCACCGATGCATTGGAGTTAGGATCTCTTTATATAAGCACAAACTGCCGATCCACTGTTGCGCTCATGGTGATCCTGAGAGCTCTAAGCGCTTCCACTTTCACGGCTTAGCCTTTAGCATTCTCAGCCAGTATCCCCCTGATTGATTGACCGTGCTTAGGTCAACGATGAGTCATTGTTGTTTTCAAACTAAGCATGGCTATGAAAACTGACTGACTCAGCAACCCTGTGCAATTAGTTAGGGTTAAACGAATGAGGATGTGGCGAATTTCACCCACAATATTCAGCTGATGACTCGGGGGATCTGATTGCTTCACACAATTGTTCAGCCATTATTAAACTGCCAGAATCTCGCGCCGTGAAGGTAGCGCGTCGCGATGATTCAGACATGTGATTATATGGGTTCGCAGATTTCCTCCCATCCATCTCCCATTCTGAGGCAAATTGTATTTTAAACTTTAGCTTGTTGCTCCTGGTTCGGTAGAGGGATATGAGGAACCTTAACTCCAATTTTCTTGGTTCTTTTGATGAATGTTTCTCCCGACTTATTTACCTACAATATACGTCTTCGCCCTACCAAACATTCTATCACATTAACACAAGTCTTCCTTAGAAGTTATATTGTGGAGGTAAGCTTTATGAACTTACAGAAGGCTTGAGTTCTGGCACCGGAGGTCATGGAGGCGTGGAGTCGTGAAGACGTGAAGGTGCTCTTACAATACCACCTGTAAGCATCTCAGACCTTCCTCCCTCATTTTTCAGTTGTCACAATTTTGATCACTGAGTGGCGCAACAAACTTCGTCGTGTAATGAACGATATGGACAATTTCAAGAGCGCTGTTGCAGTGGATTCCCTAATGAATTTCGAAACCGTGAGTGTCTCCTTAAGCGAAATGCATTTCCTTCGTTATGCCATAGTGTAACTGTGCCTCTTTTAGTGATCTTGAGTTTCAATGCGATGTAAGTTGTTTGGTGATGCCTATTGGTTTACGTCTAATCAATGAGTTTGCGGTTTAAGCTGACGTTGGCCAATGGGATGCAAGGGAATTTGTAAGCACATTTTTGGAACTCAGCTGTGATGGAAATGCATGCTTATTACCTCTGGGCGTTTAACTTTTGTAGACTAGTAAAAGTAAATTTAAAGTGGTAGAGCTAGTTCCTTAAAAGTGCTTATTTAAATGCGTTTCATCCCAGATTTTGAAACAATTGTACTTGCAGGCATTCTCACTTTATTCTTATAGCCGTTTGGTCTTGACGTTTCACTAACCTTTCAGTTCTACGGGCCTCTCAAGACTAGCATTACTTTTTTGTGCAATATTTTGTTGCTGACTTCAGTATCATTTAATGTAGTGATTTGATCGGCAATGGACGCGCTGTGGTTGCGTGTTTCACTCCACTTCTTGCCTAATAGCGTCTGAGGCAGTGGACAATATGACATAGCTTCCACCCATCATCTGTGTTCAGCAGCGCCTCTGTACCCTCACCCTTCCTAAAAGTTTCAATGCGACTTTAGTGCAATTTCTTCGTCGTCTTCTTCAAGGTGAAATACTACAATGCAGAGACCTTTGAAGTTGAGCGTTATGATAAGGCGATTGCTGAATACCAGAGAGCAAATTGGACTAATCAGATCTCTCTTTCCGTCCTCAATGTAACCCAATCAGCGATAATTACGGCGGGCCTTTTGGTTGGAACTCTGCTTTGCGCTCACGATGTTGTTATCGGTACCCTGACGGTGGGTGATTTCGTTCTCTTCTGCACATACATCCTCCAACTCTACATGCCGCTCAACTTCTTTGGCACCTATTATCGGTGAGTAAAAGGTGAACGGAGACTTGAGAGACCCCAATCATTATCTTTATCATATCCCAATTTTATCTCAATCTGGTGCCACAAATGCATGGAACTTGAGTTTTCTGAAGAACTGTGGCAAACTCTCACTATACTTAGTGCCACAAGATTAGTTGGAAGTTGATCAATACGCCATGCCTTGATCTATGGAAAGGGCCAACTAAACTAACGAAAACGTTGGTAACGCGTGGTGTTGCTATTAGAATGAAAGTGCTACTGATTTCCATGTAAGTATCAAATTTGATAGATTCTTGGCCGATTTTGATGCCAAATCATCAGAGCAGTGAGAACGACTGAGTCTTTTCTAACCAGCTGGTGTTCCAGCAACTCGGTTAGTATTGGATCTCCGTTGTGTGATTGGCGATTGGTTGAGTTTTGTAGATAGGAGAAATTTGACGCAATCTAGAAATTCGATCCGTGATTGATCAAGTAATCTCTGAAGGTTATAATTATTTAACATTTAATCTCCTTTCCCTCTCATCAAAAGAGACTTGTTTAAAGGGAACCAATCTGGCAGGCTTTGGTTCGGTTGGTGTTTGATTTTTTTGTGTCTTATCCTTCATCCAGTCTGCTTCAGACCAGCTTTGTGGACATGGAAAATATGTTCGAGTTACTGGAGGATGACACACGTATACACGATGCTCCTGACGCAACACGTTTAACTGTCACTGAAGGCAAAATTGAATTTAAGGGTGTCAATTTTGCCTATGTCCCCGGGTGAGTTTATCTGTTAGCCAACTATTTTACTTTTGGACTTTTTTTACAGCTGTGAGAAAGAACTGGAATTTAGTAGCTCATATCGCCTTTGCTTAGCTGACTTTTTCTGACTCTGCTGAACTGCCTTGCAGGTCATGAAGAGGCATAGAATCTGTCACGTAAAGCATCTGATGTCACCTACTTTTTTGCAATTTAGGAGGTCGGTCTTGAAAGACGTTTCCTTCACCGTAATGCCGGGCAAGAAACTTGCGTTGGTAAGAGGTCGCAGTTTTTCAGATGTGTCATTTTTACTGAATTAATAATGGTTGGAACGACGATCCTTTTTCACTCCATTTCCAAACAGGTGGGTCAAACCGGTAGTGGAAAGTCGACAATCATGCGTCTTCTCTTTCGTTTCTACGAGCCCACCAGTGGAGAGATTTTGATTGATGGACAGAACATCCTCCACGTGACTCAGAAGTCACTTCGTCAAGCCATCGGTGTTGTGCCTCAGGTGAGGAATCGGTTATGAAGCAATAATGTTACAAACTCACCATGTTTCACTTTCTGCGCGTAGGATACAGTTCTCTTCAATGACACAATTTCTTATAACATTCTCTATGGTCGTCATACTGCACTACCTGAGGAGGTGCAAGCCGCTGCACGAGCCGCAGAGATGCACGAACGGATTCTGGAGTTCCCACAGGCCTACTCCACAGTTGTTGGGGAGCGTGGACTCAAGTTGTCAGGTGGAGAGAAGCAGCGTGTTGCAATCGCCAGAACTCTGCTCAAGGGTCCTCAAATCGTCCTCCTTGATGAAGTGCATTGATATTTTGCTGAAAGTTCATGCATTTGTTGCTTTTGCGTAGGTATGACTTGTGTTTGTAATTTAGGCTACGTCAGCGTTGGACACGAAAACAGAGAGGCTAATTCAGGAGAGCCTGGACAAGGTTTGCGAGAACCGGACTACAATCATAATAGCGCACCGACTATCGACAATACGACACGCAGACGAGATTCTGGTTATGCATCAGGGCGAGGTCTTGGAGCGTGGTAGTCATGAAGAGCTGCTGGCCATTCCAAATGGTCGTTATGCCTCGTTGTGGATGGAGCAGAGCTCGAAGCAGACACACACGCGTGAAGGCTGATGAGGAAACCTGGTGTGGAAGGAGCATCATTTTACCCTACGCAATTACAAGTGCAACTGGAAGTTTACCCATTCTACTCACTGTGTGATGCTTTTGTTCATGTTTGTAATGCGATTATCTTTTGGAACTTTTGCATGATTAGAGATTATGAACCGTCCCAGAGAAGAAAAAAACAGCGGAATGTGTACATGCTGGTTAATATTATAATATTATTATATTATATTATAATATTATTATAATATTATTTTCACCCATACGATTCACGAGTCGGGCATGCAATCAGTTCCCTCACGAATTACTCACCGTTCTGTACTTTAGCTACAGACCTTACAACCACGGTCGCTCCACTCCTACCATAGAGAGTAGTCGGGCTTCGTTCCCAGGTGGTCGGCAACCAGAAGTTGGAAAGGTCGGTTTAGAACTTGTCACTTGCATAAAGCGGCCATCGGGGCGAGAAGAGGTGCGTTTGTAAAGGAGCTGAGCAGGGCGATCTGCTTGAGGTTAGAGGGGGGCATTGTGGCTTTACATATACTTTCACGTCAAAGTTTATTAAATCTCGAACACCCAGCAAATGAAGCAAACAAATGAAAGTCAACAAATGCCGCAATGTGTCGGTTATTATTTGGGTACCAATCAGGTCCTAGGCGTACGCAAATCCGAACAACTTTAGCTGATGCACACTCTTTGTGTACCCGACGACTCAAGAATGCCGGCAAATCCACGCAATCTATCGGCATACCAATAGATTCGCAAATTTCATTCTCATTGCAAAGAAAGGTGGCTATAAAAGAGGCAAGCGACTTATGCATCCACGAGACTTTCTTAAGGTTCACATTGAGACGTATTTCGAACGGCATGCGGACTCTTCGGGCTATCTGAAACTGCATTAGTCTTGTTGGAGAGCCGCTTCTACAACAAAAAAACTGCGGTACTTTAGTACGCGCTGCCCACGATTCATACAATCACAATCATCTAAAACATTCCAAGCTCAATTGAACGTTGTTCGCTAATAGCGTAAAATCGGTAAAACTGAGGTTAAAATACGGCGTACTGTGTTTACTATGGTTTTTTTTAACTAGTGATCCTCGGACTCTGCTACGCTATATTTGGAGTCTTTAGATGTCTACATATGGGAAGAGGGGTTTGATTGGAAATGTAAAAAATTCTACCTCCTTAATCAAAGCTGGGCTTCCGTTATACACTTTAAGTGCCATGTGATTGTGGAGTCTCGAGACTTCCCACCGCGTGGAAGAGGATGTAAACTGGAGCTGGATACGTGAATTACAGGGAGAACAAAGGGCTTAGGCCTGAGCTTGGTCCGAGGGTCAGCCCATTAGTACAAGGACTAGATTGTAAAATACACTAGTGTTCAATTTGACTTTTATGGGGGAGAGGCGGGAAGCGAATTTGAACGCGAATCTGGCGCTTGAGGACCGTGAAGAATTCCTCTCGGGGTGATAGCTGCTGTTCGGCTCATCCGTGCGCCTATCCCCGTTCTTCCAGTATTAATCTACTGCAACTAACCCTCACTTGAAGTCCGCGGTTTAAGGGTAGGCGGGCAGTTCCTACAAAGATTGACAGCAAGACATTGGGTGATCACATAAACGGGGCATTGCAGTTATTTTCCTGAAATTTGCGGTTGTGCCTAATGCTCATCATCTGTACTGCTGAACCGGCTTATCCGAGCAGCGAATGCTGTTGTATTTGCTCGAGAGATCCTCAGTAACGGTATAAAACCGTTGGAAAACTGATGAAAGAACAAGTGCATAAAATAACACAATGGTTTACGCTTCTTTCGCGCACAGAAACCTAAAATCTCTTAAGTTTTGTTTACAACGCTTTAGGTTTCTAATCTATTGTAAGACTTATCAACAGTCACCGAAGGTTGTGCTTGGGTGGTACACTTGATCTCAAGTTCTTGAATATGGATCAGGAAGTTCAAGATCCTTAATGATTCTCAGCTACAGGACCTGTCGTTTTCTGGTTTGCGTCAAGGGGTAACTTCATGAATCTATTGCCATATGACTCCTTGCCCTGCCCAAATTGGTCCCTTTGGTTGCTACTGTGCTTTTGACGGGTGGACTGACTTTGGGGCCATGCCATAGTCCTATGTCCACACTTCCTCTCTCAACATAAGCCTTTTAGCCAAAAAAATATGCCTTCTATTACCGATTGTTACCTCTCGGGATGCTGTACCTTGTCTTATTTGATGACACTTACAAGAGCATGACGTGCTGGTATCCGTGTTAGTTGTTGCAAGTGGGCAGCGTGGTTCGATTTTTAGCTTGCTGTGCTTCCCTCTGCCCCGTTGACAATTCCGTAATCTGCGCCGACCAAGGAATCTAATTTAGGCACTCGACTTTGAAAATATGTACAACTTTCATTAAGTTGGCTTGCAATAGCGAAATCAGCTCCCTTCTTTGGATTATTCTTGCTTATTCCTGAACTTACCACTTGAATGTGTCTGCCAACAACAAAATTCGTAAAAAATGACGTTACGTCTTGGCTGCTATGGTAGACGGCATCGCAGCTGCATGGAGTACTGCACAGTTTAAAGTCCGCTTTTTGTTCATACAGGCCCACAAGTGGTCTCCTGTCACACCAGTGACGTGGCCTCACAGTTGAGAAGGATTTATGTATATGTACGCCGCCTTGGTGCTTATCGTGTGGATCAGCATTTGCATTAAATTAGGCGCAAGTTTCAATTCATACATTTTAAGAGTTAAAAATTACTTCCTCACCACCATCTCCACCTCTTTAGTAGGGCAAAGTATTCAGACCTCATCTAAAGCAGAATTCAAGTTTTCCACTATTTAAGGACCTATTCTGTACCACCTCCCCTTTGAAAGAGTACGATGCAGTCTCATTTTATTGCTCATTAAGACGCTAGCACCCATAAGGACGGTCGCAAACTCAGATGCGGTTCGGAAAATAAAAAAAATCTTCTAAGACCTAATTTCTCAATGCTAAGGCCAAGTGCCTCAGAGAGGCATTCCATTGACCACTTAATCACAGTACTATCGTTCTGATTGGTAAAGCAATTCATGTTAGCCGAAATACGATCGTCGTGGCCTCCCTCTTAATGCGTCTCCCCTCCTTCCGTCCCCTTTGGAAGCCAATGAGAAGTCGCGTTAAATGTAACTGAGAGAACCAAATTGTATTGCATATTATGAAGGTGTGACTGCGGTACCAGAAAAACAAACTTAACAGCGACAACTTTATGGTTGATAAATTGAAAGGCTTGGGTAATGTGACACTTTGAGCGAGATAAAGCAATTATAACACAGTAAGGGCAATAAAGGTGAACAAACCAACGATAATGGTGAGTGCTAGTTGAGAAAAGTAACAGTGAAAGACGAGATACACACATGCGCACGCAGATTTAAAGGTAAGCGGTGCTTTATATCGCTTCACGTCGACACAGGAATACTTTTTACATTTTCACAGCCGTTGATGCATTAGTAGGGACGCATGATGATATGTTGGGGTTTACTTGGCCCAAGACGATGAATGAATAGAGAGATGCATTGAACGGAGAGAGGGAGACATCTGAATAGCATCACCCCCGGGTATTCGGCGGTTGGTACCGCTGAAGACCAGAGAATCCGCTCATTGCTGTGCCTTTTATAGGCTCTGTTGTGTGCGTGCGTCGCCTTTCGTGGTGCGTGGAGGCGTGTGTGTGTATGTGTGTGTGCGTAGACCTCCTGAGAGGCACTCTCAAGCAATCATCGATGCTGCAACGTGTACACTGATCGATAGGAGTGGTGTCGTTCTGCCTCCTGGTTGGCGAGGGCGGGTGTGCACGCGTAAAGGGTGCTCACACTTTTGTAGGAGTAACTTGACACGTTGGCGGTCTTGGATTGGTGAAAATTTTAGGCTTGCCACGCTTACACTCAAGCACACACACGCGCACATAGACACGTGGACTCAGTTGACGTTTGGGGTCATGTGAGCACAAAATGGGTTAGGCACGAAGCTATTTTAGTAATGAATGCGATAATTTGAGTTTCAAAGAGAGAGCGCACTTCCTAAGTGTGTTTGTAAAAAGGGGACCCATCACATCTGTAATATGTTCCGTTCTCCTCTTCCTCCCATCACATCATCTCTTTATCGAGTCTTATGACATTGTGAGAAAGCACGTCCAGAATGAGGTCCCACATCGGCCGAGGCGTTCTTATCGTTACATTTTGTGGTGGCACGGCGTTTCCTCTTATACGAGTGAATGACCAGTCCTGACTCCGCCTTTCCTCCAAGCTGCAGTTGAGGAGTAGATCTTAGTTTGGTGGCCTGTAATTCACTTTCCTTCACTATCAACCAAGTCATAGAAAGCAAAAGCTTCAATGGTTTACGGTAGATTCCTCTTCCCTTGTAATCACCAACACTGCGAAAGCCATCACTTCTCGCTTTGTCTAATCCTCGCAGTCATTTACGTAAATGGCTTGAATTAGTAGCTCTCTGACAGTTTTGAGGTCGGAAGGCAATCTCGAGAGGTTACATTTGCTTGAAATACGACGGCTTAGGGCTTATAACTTGTTGATCAATTGCGAAGTAAACTTAAGTCTTTTACTTCCACTCCCACACGCTCACCTGCAGCCCCATGGTCTCAGATTCTAGCTAATAGCTCGTGTAGCCCGACTTAAACAAACATTGCAAAAAGGTGGAATCAAAGTCACCAACTCTCACGCTCCGTCACTGTCCTGGAAAGACATTTCCTTCCTCAAGCTTATGCAAACCTAAATTTCAACGTCACCGATTCTATTGGAGTACTTTGCTTGCTCGTTTTCAAAACAGAGTCAATTATTTGATTTTATTCTAGCTCAATTTTTCGTAAAGATTAATGCCATAAGAACCCGAAACGTGCTTTATGAGGGCTATTGAATTGAGGATTCAGGTGACCGATGTCCCCCAAATCACTCCAAGGTTGCAGCTATTGTGCCTACTTTCCTTATGGCCACCGAAAAGTACATCAACTGTTGCTTTGCTCTATAATGCGGAGATTTGTGGGACTCTTTTACCTCAAAAATCCACATTCCATGACCTTAACCACATCGTCTTCTTGCTGCCTCTGTTTCCACACCTCACATCAACGTATGTAATCTATGGGAGACTAAAGAGTCTGCGACAGCTTAACAAATAGTTTTTAAAAAAAAGTGCTAAGCAACTCCAGAAATGACGTGTGTGCAGTATGCTCCGAATTTTGTGGTACAAGGTAAAAAAAAGTAGCATTCGAGACGGCACTTTTCGATTGGTTTCTATCCTGCCAACCAAAAGGGGCTGTCACTGGATCCTATGGCCCCATGCCTTAGCATCCACCTTAAATCTTTAAAGACGTGCATAACTTATCCGCGAGGGGCTCATTACACTGTCGCTTTGGGGACAAAGGGCTTTTATTTTACTAACAATGTTCCAGTACCTCCTAGGTCTAGTAGGAGGTATTACCCTCCCTTAGCACTTTACAACCTTCATTGCTTTGAATGCGTTTTCCTCTGATTTTTTTGATGTGGGGCAGTTTCTCAACAGCAGAACACTTCGATCAAGCAGGTGTGGGTGAAACGCACACAAACATGCAAAGACAGGTGCCACGAGTCCTGCTCCAACCTGTCGCCTTTTCATTCAGCTCTGCACCCTGTTTTGCGACTAATTACTATGCCAGCGAAAGAGAGCGAGAGCGTGAAAGAGAGAGAACTGGAGGCTAGGCTACTGTGGCAACTGCTTACTCATTCGTTTACTTGGTGTATTGCCACCAGCCTTGACCTCTTTCCTCGTCAGCTGCGTTATTTTAGCGATCAAAAATGGCAACTGCAAGAGAAAAAGGCACAAAATTCGACATTGAATGCTGGTTCCAATGTGTACACTCAACTCGCATTTTACAAGGCCGAATTGCGTTTTTAGTAATTTTATAATCAACTTTACTCCGATGGATTGATGACCTGAACAGTCGAAATAGCGTTGTCCTCAAGACAGTCATGGAGTGGCCGAATGGCTCACCCAACCAACAAGTTTACAGTTAGATAAAATACTGTGAAACAGCTCGACTTCACATCCTATTATTAGTCTTTGAGAGCAAGTCTTTTTTGCCATTTCAGGCTCTTAAACTAGTCTCCGAAGTAATAATTAAATATGCTACTGTTTAAAAAAAGTAACGCATTATTTTCGAACTTTCTTAACAAAGGCGCTGTGTAAATGCAATGAATGTGTCGAATTGACAAATGAACATCGATTATGCCAGAAATGTCACAAACTTACAATTTTAGCTGTTTTATGGCCCGTTGAGAGTTTGCTTATAATCCGGAACTGTCAATTCATCTTCTCATGATTGTACTAAATGGCTACAGATGTGCTGACAACACGCCAGTAATCCCTTCAGACAAAAAGCTAGTCAGCGATGATTGAGTATTTTTTAATGTACACTTTTGTCTCTTGGATGCAATTGAGATCAAACGATGTTACTCTGTCTGAGTGTGGCTTGACTTATGAGCTATGTTATTAGCCTCGTTTAAGGTCTGTTCTTTGTTTTTTTTATTGTGCATTCTCTTGTCTGTAAAGCACTTGGAAAATTTTTTTTTCTCATTTTACCCATTCAAGATAACTTTTGTTAGTTTGAATGACTTGCATTTTCAAAGGCCGGAAGAGGAGCTAAATGGGAATGACGTTGCCCTTCAACACCCATAGCGCTCCCAGTTGGTGTTGAGACGCAAAGGGTACGTCGCCTACAACAACCGAGGGGATTTGTAGTGCTTAGATTGTCTGACTGCCGGTTTTTGATACGATGGCTTCGGTGGCCATAATGCCTCGGATGGCTGAGATTGTCTTCGGACATTATAACTGCTTCAGGTAAAACGTAACTTCTGAAATCTTCAGATGCTTTGTTCACTGATTGCCTATACGAATGGTGGTCTCGTTGGCAGCCTTCCTGCTCTTGACGAGTGGGGTGATTTTCAAGCCCTACCAAAGTCTCACTTCAACCTTTTGTCTGACTAAAAATAGTCGGTCAAGCCTCACGCTTTTAATTACGAACATGGAAAATCCTTAAAACCTCAAATTTAAGTGTTCTTTAACACTGATGGGGAAAATTTGAGCCATGGCGTTAGGGTCCCGCACAACCTTGTTGTCATGCTTTGCTTATTCGATTACCTTTATGAGTGGTCGCCACTTCGGTGTAGATCCCGCTCTTAAATGCGTGAAATGGTCTTCAGACCAAGTCAAATCCAAAACTTTATCAGTCAATCCATACAACCGATAGCAAGCTGAATATCATAGTGACCATAGTCATGCAGGCGATCGAATAAACAGGGCAGTACATTGCTCCTCTCTCTTTTTGAGTCACATCCTCTGCGCATCCATCGGTACACCTTCCACGTCAGTTATAACAAAGCATTCGGGGCTGTAAAGAAACACCAACAAGCTATCTACGCCAATTATCGGTGAACATGGTTCTAAGATAATGAATTTGTCCTCTCAGCTGTTTCATCTAGATTTGAAATCACATTGGACCTGTATAAGGTTTGGGCAAGAGAAAGTCTGTTAACCTTCAAGACACAGAAACACCGGTTTAGATCAGAATACATGACAGAATGGATACAGCCCCTCGAAAAAGGGAGTTCAGCGTAATGTATCTGTCGACACCTATGCGCGGATATGGCACATGAAACACTAAAAGTAAACTTTTTAAGATGGCTAATGGCGATAGCGCTTTAATTGCTACAAGCTTGCCAGTTTAATATGGTAATGGGATCGATGACAAATACAGAAGTCGTTCTCGCCGCTTCTGCACTAGAGAAGGGGTAGTTTGCCTAGCTCGAGGTAATGTGCCCTCCTTTCGCACTACATAAGGGTGACACAAACTGTGAGAGTATGGAAAAGTCTCATAAAATACAAGGAATAATTTTGCTGCAAAGAAATAACAACATTAGATTATGCAATCGCTACAAGTATCCGTTAAATAGGATTGAATGCATGCATTCGGGGTTAACTGGGAGAGCTTAAGCTTTGACTTGCTAGCCCAAGCAGCTAGAAGGATGACTGCTCAAGTGACAGCCATTCATACTGCAATGCTCTGTTTATGTGACTAACTGACATTTAATGGTCAATTTAGGGTTTGTCTGGCTCTTCGGGCCATGGTCAGACCCATTTACCCTGTCGTCTTCGGAATACATGTATCCAGCTGCATTTGCTGAATGCTTATATCGGCTAAGAAGTCCCGGGACGCTACATTTACACTTAGCCAAACTAAGAAAGTATTACACGCAATCTTTAAAGGTTCAAATGGTAAGCAAGCCGAATATGCGGACGGAACTATGAACTCTATGTACGTTAGTGACCAAACTAGTGGATAAGCTACAGGGCAGCCTGCACGGAAAACAAAACTTGGCCGCTGATAAGGCGTCACATCTCATTTTTAGGAATCCAAAGGCCTCTAGATAGCAAAATTGCATAAAAATACGGAAACTAATGCTGAGTCTCATGGTACTAATTTGAACGATATTTTATAGGACATGCTGATAACGCGATGTGGTAAATAATTTGGTACCATAAATTCATGCTGGAACCTAGTTTATTTGTGTACGCAGATTATTATATGAAATTTGCGCATTTCGCACGACACGCATAGATAATATGCGCATTGTTTTATTTTGTTTTATTTGTCCAGCACGTGCTTGAGTTTGCGCGCGCTTACGGTTGCTTTGCTTGTTGCAGAAAGATTCCACTCGCCGCCACGTCTCGGTTTGGAACTGTGTACATTCTTGTGTCGTGGATGAAGTGCATGTTTAGTTAGCACCGCTACAGGGATTATTTTGCCGTACGTGTATGGTTTGAGAAAGACGCATTGTACAAAGGCTTTTGTTCCCGTATAATAAGTCATTTTATCTATAATTTGAAGATTTTGAGCTGAACTTTCATTACCAGTACAAGCTCTCCTAGAGTTGGGATGGTTTTTGTTGACATATACGGTTTGAAAATATTTAGGTCAAGGACCATTTCATAACGCTTATCAAGGGATTTTGACGTAGGGTTTTTCATGGTGCTGGAGATTTTAAATAAATTTGCTGTTAGTACTCTCATAATATGCAACAACTGTCGCCCGTCTCCATGAATTTTGCCGTGAGGAAGTATGAAGGGACCGAGAAACTCCTTGAAGTTTGGTTCTTCTATGATGAAGACCGGTTTCCACTTCGTTGTGCGCATCCGGATCTTCGCAAACTGAAAAGGTATGACTTTTTCCATCTAGGAATCACTTCTTAAGTAGAGCCCAAATCGATCAACTGTTAAAAATGGCTTGTTGCGAAATTGTTGCAGAATGTCACAACAACCGACAGTTCAGCTTTGTCCTTAGGTAAGACAACCCTTAGCTAATAATTTTTCCAGTGAAAGCAGCCTCTTTATTACTCAAAACCGCATTATTCTGAAAACCTGCGGCCAAACCAAGATTCTCCAGTCCCTAAAACCCCTCATCCAATGCGCCATGCACCTAGGCTTCGCAAAATACGTTGTACGTTTGCGTTGCGAATTTAGATTATGGTGATAAGGGCAGCGTTTTGTGTACCTTTATGCTTCTTTTCAGGTGTATTACTCTCGACGGTCCTTCTTGTTTCCCGAGCTGCAGGCCGAACCGCATGGGGACTTCAGAAATGAGGTAGAATCAATATATTTAAATTTTCTTTCATAACTTTAGCACTACGATACGATGATGACAATATTTGTTTTGTTTTTTTAGATTTCAGTCCTTAACAGGTTCTGCAAAAGTGCGTTTCTTTCTTTTAACCGTTCGTTTCTCTCCCTTCTGTTGTCCTTTCAGCGGGAGCTGGTTACACATTTGGCCGTTTGAACGACGATTGTTGGTAAGTTCTTTTGATCCTCTGGACCCGTCTTTGGCCGCTTTGGGACTTCCTGAGATCACTTCTTGTTACAGGAATTTCTATTATGGTCAGTCAACCTCACTACAAGTGAATGAGCCTCCAGGTCAAACACTTGAGGTTGGTGCCTTTGTGTAACTACTAAGGTTGTTGCGTTAGGCATACTTGACTCACAACATTGTAGCGCCTCCTGTTGAGATCACCGTTTTTTCGACTCACTTTTCGATCATGCTTTTTAGCTTTCTGGACTGCTATTTTACGTACAGGGGAAACTTATCTGTTTTATCACTATTTTAATCTGAATTGCTCCTTTTTTCAAACGAGAATAATCGTTTCGTTTGGATACAATGTGCCGACCAATCATTGTACTTCTTTCCCATTCCCGAAGGTGGGTCATGGCAGACAATTCTGTTTTTTATTTAGCTAGTCTTCAAAAATATGCGCCAAAGTTTTTATCCCATGTCTATGATTCTTTTGTTCGGATCTAAACTGAAACACAAATGGATGTTTGGCTTAGTTGAAGCTAATGCATGATGTATGGAAAGAAATAGGAATTTTCACAAACGTGGAAGCGAATGCATGCATGTTCGATCTATTCATTGTTTAATGTGAATCACTTTTCAGAACTCAGTTGGTGTTGTGGTGTAATTTACGCAGGTCCATGCGATTGGTAACTGCTATGGTGTTCCAATTTACCGGTTTTCTATCACTGAAAGTTGAGGTCATTGTGGTGACACAGTCTGAGCAAATTTTTCTGAATTACTTAAAACTCGCTTGACTCAACCAACTTATCACTAGCAAACTCTCCTTCGCCACCCTTACAGTATTTTTTTCGCTAGGGAAACTACAATTCGGGGTTCATTTTTAATGCTTCCAAATCTTCCCTTGCCTGTTTTACAGTTGCACTTGTGCTTTAGTTTCTACCTCGATTTAACTATCAATATTAAGTCTTCCGGATAGTCTTTGGTCGATTTGTTGATTGACAAGTAGCTCTGAAACACATTCTATAACTACCCGAAAATCTTTGATAGAAGTGAATTTGGAGTTGTCACATGTCTCCGATGGATTTCCTTTCATCTCTTACCTTTCGCTCTCCACTTTCTGTACTAGTCGGGTATTTTACTTATCCATCATCTGCTCTGTGAAAACTGGTTTCCTTGACTCATTAGTGCATTTCATCGAGCTTCTGCATTCTTTATTAAGTCCTTTTTGCAGATTTTACATTGTAGAAAAATACCAATGGGAATGATGCATTCTGGTGCAAGCAAGTGATTTTCTCGTCTTGAGCTTGTCTCGTTTTGCCCAACTTTCATTCAAGTCCGGCTGACCCTCCTCCTCTTGCAGACATTTGAGATCATCTAGGGTTCCTGATGCCCCTTTTAACGTACCAATTCCCTTTTTTTTGCCCCTTTCACCTTACATGGCGCATTCTACTTTGTTAAGATCAAATTCAAGTTCCCTCTCCAGGCTGCACTTGGCAGTTAGGTCGGTGCATCTCAGTTCAGCCGGCTTAAGAGTTCATCAAAGTAATCATTCAAAATGTTAGTAAACTGTGGGTTTACGTCCGAAAATTCAACCATTAGACAAGTTCTTGAGTGATTTAGCTTCTCTACCCATCCGTTGCAAGTGATGCCCCCATTCTCCACTGAGTCACGCACTGGGAACGGTATTTTATTCATTTCCTTTTGGTTTGCTCTTTACATCGTGGTGAACCAGTTTTGTCAAAATCATTACGGTAGATTTTTGTTTCTCTTTGTTACTAGCTATTCTGGCACCTGGTTGCGTCATTTGCTATTCATTGTATATCGTTGAAATTGGTGAAACAGTTTTTTGAGGTCATCAGTGAGGTGTGGGTCCAATAATTGGTTCTCTTGGTTTTAGAGGCAATTGGTGCCGTTTCTGTAACTTGTTCTTATTCTAGGCAAAAGGGGTTAATTACCTTTTATTTCCCTTATTCGTCCTCCCAAACTGTATTAGTTTTGCCTCTACACAGCCTTTGTATTTAACTCCTGATGGTGCTTTAGCTCCTGCCTTTTAGCTAATGATGCGTGATCTGAATCCAGCCAAAATGGAGGTCTTTTACGCGCGCACTTCACACTCTGCTGAGGAGGCCACTAAAGTAGGGCCCATTGTGTCTTAGCTATCCCTCCTCTCTCCCATTCTAATATTTTTTTCCCTTTTGGCCTCCAACTCCAGCACTCAGGCATCGGAAATCTCTTCTCTCACGGGCAGGTGTCCTCCTACCTCTTCACGCCATGTGGCTACTCTGCCAATGGGCTCATGAATGAGGTGAGAATCTTTTACCTCCCTTGTGGACAAGTTATTTCAGCTGTTATATGTGAGATGAAGTCGTCAAGTCATGTGGATGCGTGGGTAGTTCAACATTTATGTTGTGCAATAGAACTTCGTCCTCTTTTCCAAAGTTCATTTTTGTGCCTATCTTGTCTGCTTGTATTGTTTTTTTGAATAATGCTTCTCAGGCTATGATGCAATCTTGTATTCTCAAAAGCTTCTTTGAAAGATGTTCGATATCCTAGGACCTCTGTCAACTTTCTACATGTTCATTCACTTTCGTCTTTTTGAGCCCTCCATGTAGTCAAAGCACGAGTAATCCTCTTCACACATCCTTCAGTGTTGGTCGTTTACTAATATCGAACGAAATCGCTATTTTGGCTGGTAATGAGTCAGAATTGATGAATAGCATTAGTTTTCAGCATCCTTGGAGTTACCATGGCATAGACAAACCTGATATCCATTCAACTTTTCTCGAACTGTTTGGTGGTCCTGACGCCTTGTAGAAGTGCCATCGTCGTAAAGTGTGCGATGATGGTATCGCAAGTAGGTTACATGCCTTGTTAGTCGGAGCAACTGGAGTGCACAGTTGCCATGTAGCAGGTAAGTCCGTTGAGGATCTCAGTGCCAAAAGTCGCTTGATTCATCTTGGTACGTATTGAACATAGCTTACTTCTCACAGCCTCACTTTCTGCGTCTCCACCCTCCGTAGCTGGAAGCTGAAGTATCGTCGCTTTTGCAGATTCCATCTTTTAACTAACCATCAGTACTTGGCCTCACCTCTTTCCCTTATAGGATGAGTATTTCACCGTTCACGTTACTCCCGAGCCCGAGTTTTCCTACGTCAGCTTCGAGACAAACGTGGCGATGGGCAACTACTGTGCATTCATCTCTCGTGTTCTTGAAATCTTTCAGCCCAAGTCGTTTATCTGCACTTTTTTCTCTGATCCGGTAGGCTACTGCAGCTATTGATGGCGACGGTGTGGTGCAAACAGCTAGATGTTTTAGGTTTCATATTTGCCTTCTTTTCTCTCCACAGATGTCTTCAACGTTCTCAACTCACGCGATTTTGGAGAAGGCGGTGACGCTGTCTAATTACTGCCGCAGTGATTTGCACTCCGCTTGCATGGAGTGTGGCCGCAAACTCACCTTTGCGAAGTACTTCCGCGCCAGCAACCAGTTGGAAGGAGCGGATGTTATGGTGCTGACGAAGCAGACGGACTTGGAAGTGAGTGGTCTGCTGACTTAGTGAGGCTTCTTATTCTTTCCCACATCCGCAAAAGCAGACTGGTACGCTATTATAACTGCACATTCCTTGCCATGTCGATCACATGCCACCGGCAGATGTGGAAGCCGAATAGAATACACAATTAGGAGGGTGTTGGAAATAAATTTTTAAAAACAAAATTCAAGAACAAATCACTATGCACTGGGAAATGTAGATCACCCAAAGTCTCCTTTGAAAGTATTTGTCATTTCCTATAAATCAATTCAAAGGCAGGTCTCTCATTCATCAGGAAAGCATGTGCTCAGTTAAGACGACTTTGATTCCATCTCTAAGTCAAATGTCGGGGTAGGTCTGAGTTGAATAGCTTCTTTCCTTAAAATTTGGCAAAAATGCGGAACTCGGCTCCAAAATGGCAAGCCAGGTTTCTAGAACTGATAACAATTGGACGTTGGACGTTGCTCTTGATCGGAAAATAATCTACATCAGGCAATGAGGAGCTGAGGAAGTTATTAAAATTAATTTACTCTCGTCTCCTACAGATTGCTCATTGACTTCAAGTGATCTAGACCTTCGTCACTCATTATCAAGCTGACGTGCAAGTATATTTGTGTCTTCCTTCAGTCGATATTATTACTTTTCCACTCCGCCCGATTAGCAAAACGTTTATCCTCCAATGATCGTGCTTGATGTACAGATGGAACTGTCTTCTTAATGAAGGTCTGAAGTTTATGAGCTCAATAAGGCAGTGTTTGAAGGCATTGCAGAAAAATATATCGTTGGATATCCAGGGCGAGTTGTGACATTTTGATCCTTTCAGTCTTTTATACATTGGTTCAATAGTCCACTTCGATAAGTTCATCACATGTGGCAGATAAGTTGAGTAAGTTACGGCAGATATAAACTTCATTCGTTTCAGAAGGCTTTTGCATTTGGCAACTTCTCTGACCTCCAGACTGTTCATGTTATCGTATATGAACAAGAAGGGGCTGTTGGCGAGTTTGCACCTTCAGAGGGCATTTCTCCTTGGAAGGAAAGTTCGGCTTATGCTACTGCGCCACACTTTCGTTTTCGATTAAATTAGGACTTCGAAGCTGAATTACGCTTAATACTTATCCACACGACAATTTCCGTAAAGTTGACTACCAGAAGCATTTTACGAAGTATAGTACTCTTTCCGCTAGGTTTTGGTGTTTCGAGTAGCTGTGACAGCAGCTAATCAGCGTGCGTAGGGTGTAAGTTTTGACATGCTCAAGGCTAACCCATTGCCTCACATTGTCATTTCCGACAGGTCGTTTCTAAATCTCGTATGTGAATGGCAAACTGTCAGTCACGTGGAGATAGTCTCCGATGTTCACTTAACTGTTTCTGCTTCTTTGGTCAGTTGCCTTTAAACAACTATCAAAATATCTTTATGAGTGACCGTTTCAAGAAGTTCATTGCAAGACGGCATCAATTACCCTAGCTTCTACTGCCTCTGTCCGAGAGTTTTGTCCTTGGTGGACGTTCAAAACCCTCAGAGAGGGAAGTCTTAATCCTCCAAATGAGTGTCATGTAGAAGGGCCTAAAAAACGGTTGCATTTCAAATTGAAATGAGAATAGTTTTTTATCGATGCACCCATTTACATCGAACAGAAATGGGGGTAAAGGAAGAAGCAGTCAAAGTGCAATGCAAACCAAAACAGAGCACAGGGAATATGACTCCGAAGGCGGGTAGTGCCTATTTTAGTTCTAAAAGATAAAAACAGAATAGTAATTGGGATCTTCCAAATCCATCATTGTGTAGAGATTTGCCTTACTTCGAGAGAGTTTCTTCACCTTTCGTCTTGGTCGAGTTTGATTGTTGGGGTTCGTCCCCTCAGCATTTACTTCCTCAGTCACCTCTGTTGTCTCCGGAATTTCTTGTGGGGGTGGTGAGGTAATTGTAGTCCTATCATCCTCAATGCCTACTCTTATCTCGGTGCCCTCTTTTACTTCTCCAACTTTTGTGAGGGGTTGAGTTTCTTCAACAATTTCCTCAATCACCTGTTTCACTCCCTCATTGTATTCATTTTCTTCTGGTACTTCTGATGCTATTTTGGGCTTTCCACTCTTAGCGTGCAAAACTTCGGTCTTCCCTCTTTTTTTACCCTTCAGTTTCTCTCCTGCTTTTTCATGTTCCTTCTCGATCTTCTCCTCATCCTTCATGGGATCTTGTCCATCTTCCTCCTCTTCGTTCCCTTCCTCTTCCCCTTCTTCTATTTCTTCTTCCGCCTCTTCTAGAGCTCGTCTGGCTCGCCGTTTCTCACGACACCTTCGGCGCTCCCCGCAGCGGAACATTCGCTTCTCATACTCTTCCTCGTTTTCGTCTTCTCGTTGCTCTTCATTACATAAGTCTAAAATGTGGAGTGTCATCGAATATCCAGCAAGGAGAGGGCGCCAAACAATGGGTGTCAGAATGCATGAATGACTCTGTGATCAAACACCGGTGGTTTGCAGATTCTGATGATTGCAAAGGTGTTTTAACAAACTAAACGATTGCCCGAAAGTGGCTCTAATTGGTATTTAGCTTTGCTCAATAACTAGTCAACTATAGCCTATTACATGTATATTTGTTTTCCAATGACCAGAAGGGGCACCTTGCAAGCCTAGTGGTTTACATTCTAAGGATATTGCAGTCTCTGAATCGGTATGGGGGTGGTGCGATAGTGACTCAAGTCAACTGATCTACTCCTTCTGAGGTCGTGAATGCGAAGTAGGTCAAATTGCCGGAACTATCACACAAGCATTCGACCTGCTTATGCCAAATTTCCACTCCGTTTTCGGCAAATCAAAGAAAACGCGGACCTAAACGCGATGTTTCTCCAAACATTCAATCATTTATCCGTTTACCTTCAATCCAAGCACCAAATCGTAAATTTTAGCTTTTAAGATGTTTACAGGGGGTACAATTTCGCTTTTGGGAAAGTAAACCTAAGCTTACAATTCTTCTTTGTTGTTTGAGTAAACAAACGAACTTGGACGAATTTAAATTATTCAAACAGGATTGATGTTATTAACACTGGTAAAAATAGACAAGGTGAAACGTCATTACCGTCATCAGCATACTCGTCATCTTCATAATCCTCTCCGAAACCTATTTCATATTTACAAAAGGTTAGTTTACATCTTTTCGTTACGGAAAATCAACTTTCTTGAATATTTTTTTTGCCACTTTATAAGAACATTAGTGTGCTTACAGCTGGTATCGCTGTCGTGCAGCGAAACGGTGGGGAATAGCAGTTGAATGCTCTTCTTTGCTGTCTCAAGGCTAGAACTGCCATGTACGGCGTTGTCACGGAAGTTTCTTCCATACGTGGCCCGAAGACTAGGTCATATTCAGTGAAAAGGGAACGGTGCTGCTTACCAAACCTTCTCCGGTTTGACGCTGTTACAAAAAGGCCCAGTGGTTAGTAAGATCTTGGGAATCCTTCCCACCCTCATGTGGCTGGCACAATCAAACTCACTCTAGTGGATAGCCATCCACTGCAACGTCAGGGTCTGTGGGTCCAATTAACTTTGTCCACTTTCTTACGGCGTCTTGAGCCTTCAAGATTAACGCTAACGATGGTCCGCTGAAACAAAGTCGATTATTACTTCTCAAAATTACGATATCATGTGTCGAACTAGGTCGTCGAAGTAAGGTTTATCCGCCTCCACTTCATAAATGGTACGGACATCTTCAGGCAAAAGTTGAACCTCTCTTTTGGCGGCAATTTTAAATCCTGCTTGCTTGATTTCATCCAGAATTTCGTCCCATGCGGGTTGACTGTCGGGTTTAAGCAGAGCAAATGTTTCTTCGATTGGGAAAAAGCGCATAACAGTACTTTGGGCCTGCGATTCAGTAGTTGTGCCATCAATCCACGTAAGATCGTCCACTTTTGGAACCTCTGGAAGAGAGGAGTACTTTCCACGAAGGGTATCTGGATTGTCCTTTAAAGCTTGGGCGTAAGACTCGGGACCCAAAACATCCTTCAATGCCCTGGGCCCATCCTATAATGTGGTACTACTTGTTGGGGACGTTCAGTCAAGAAAAGTTGACTTTGAAGTTAACGGTCTCAAAACTCACATTTTTACAAGCCATTATGATAAATGAGGGTCCAGAGGTCATAGTAGTGATTAAACTTTCAAAAAGACTTAAAGAAGCCAAATCTGCATAATAATCACGAGCTTCTTCGTCACTGAATGTGTAGTCCCTGGTGGAGAGAACTTCAAAGCCGTTTGCCTCTAAATCGGTGACGACTGCATTGCGGTAGCTTTCGTAAGCTGGCGGTTTAACCAGCACGATAACTCGAGGTGGACCTTCATATTCAGGCACACCGGATGAACCCTCACTGGCCTCTGCATCGGCGAGAGAGTCCTTTTTGTCCTCCATGGGATGGACACTCGGTCTTATCTCTTCAGTCTCTGGGACGTATATAATTACCCGTCGCGGAGTGAATTCTGGGAAGAGCATGTTTATTACCCTTTTAATATAAAATAAAGATTGAGAGCTTGAGGTCGTCATAAACACCCTTGCATTTGATTTCAAATTTGAAAATAAGAGGAATTTAAACCCTCACTTCTCTGCTGTTGCCGCTGTTTTCGGTGCAGTCAAACAACTGTTTGGTTTCCCGCCCCCAAATTTATCACGAATGCTGGAGAGAAAAAAATTAACTTGAGTTATCAAATAACGTTGTCAAATGGAAGAGGGCAAGCAAGTGTGGCATGAAAACCTTTCAAAGGCCTCGTCTTCTTGGGATTCTTCACCAGTTTTTGGTCCAACAAATTTAGAAAACCCATCGAAAACGCCTTCGGATCCCCTTGCAATAATGAGGATGCGTAGGGGATCCTTGGTCAACTTTGTGATAAGAGATGCATAGCCAGGGTCATCGATGTCATCTGCAAGAAGTTCACTTGCCACATCCGTGTCCAATGTGTGGATCTCATCTTGTAAAATTTCATACTGAGCATCTTGAAACTACAAAATCGAAAGTAAAAAAATAATCACTGTCTTTATGATGGCTTCCATAGTGTCCTCACTAAGATCGGAGTGAAGGATCACGGGACAGCATTCCTCATCAACTTCTGAAGTTTAAGATGGGGGATTAGACGGTCTTTTCAGCCAACCTCTTTGGTTTCGCTTTCTTTTGGCCTCAGCAGCCCTTTCTTCTTCTATAATCTTTAAGTACGGGTCTTCAATCTCAATGCGCGCTATTTCACCTGCCAAGACAGCATGTTCTTGCTTCAACATCTCATAAATAGCGGCTCTAATGGCAGGGCAGTTGGCACCTTTAACGACACCAACAAGGAATTGTCCCTTAAATAAAAGCACTCAAAACATCTTACTCCATACAAAAGAAAATAGGGTTCAGAACGACCACGATACTTGTCGAGTGTATCAATTTTATCCACGTTGGCAGTAGCAAAGTATAATTTTTGGTCATTTAATTCCTCTTTTATTTTCTTGAAAAGATTTTTAACTGATTGGCATGGGCCACTCCACTCTTGATAGATGTCAATCACTTTGTAAGTTGATTGTCTGGGCTAACATAGTGTACCTTTAAGACCATCCTTTGACATTAAGTCTTCCCAATCCTCCTGGCTGTTCACTTCAATTTGAAAATCATCTTTTGCACTTTTATTCATTCTCAATAAATGAGAACCTTTAATGCAGGTTGAATTGACGCGATAAAATATCCATAGAGCAAGGCCATAGCTTGCAAGTCAAGAGCCTAAAAAGGGAGTTTAAACGAATTCTCTTATCAAATTGGGACAGTATAATAAGGACATAAGGACCTTGGATTAATCACTAGTTATCCTTAGCAAGCAATAGTGGTTGCTAGAAAATTCGATGTAAATTTTTTAACTCTATTTAAAAACTAGATCAAACAGGCAAAAGAATAGTTATGCGAGCTCTATTCGAAATGCGAAGGTTGCCTCCTCTTTTATAGGACCTATTTCCTTAAAATTATGAGACATTATTAGTGTTAACTTATGCATCATTTGTGTAACTTTTAGAGTTGCCATAAATAAAGTCCGTCTCAGGTGCATTTAGGAGGCAGTTTGTAACACAATTTTCATACGGCCACCTGATATCTAAAGGTGGCGGCCAGTCATTCATGCCGTCACACAAACCAAATGCAAACCAGTACCAAAAGTGTTAGTGCGGCATTTGGATTTCGGATCAAACCATGCCTAATTGTTCACACTCGTGCTCAAATAAATCCAAGAAACAAATACGGAATTAGGATAAGGAAAAAATAATTATCTTTGATAATATAGGTTAAACAAAAAGCATTTTAAGTTCTTAAAGAAGAGATGTTACATATTTTACCGTGCAAATATAGGATTTGTTTGTACCTGTCAGATTGACTTTTGTCACCTTGAACAGTTTTGGCGGGTTGTTGGACTGTACACTGCTTTCATGGTGCGAGTGCTTGTTTTATAAATGGGTGAGCACATCGATCTTGCGCAAAAGATTTGTACCTTGCCTTCGAATACTTGTTTTTTGCGTTTTTCGCAATCTCTTAAGGCACTTGGATAATCCGTCACCTTTGTAGCCTTCACTTGTTGGGTAACCCTGGTCACGATTTAACTTTGTATTTGCTCATTCTACACAATGATATAAGTCGGCATTTCCTAATTTTACTTTCTAGTTGGCGAACTTTTGCATTTTTAACGTTTAATTAATTTTGTTAATAATCGTGTCATTAGGTTATATTTTTTAAATAAGGCTCTTACTACACTGCATATGCTCAATGGTTTGCCTGTTCGTTGAACTTACTTCGTGCTCTTTTTGGTGGCCTTTTTTAATGGTATTTTCTAGGCTGATTCAATCGCCTACTAGCTTGTGATTCATCTCCCTTCGCACTAGTCTACTCTCGCTATACTTTTTAAATATTTTTTGCATAATATCCAACCAGTTGTGAGCGTTTGTTACTGGAAATTTTGGACTTACGTAATTTACTCTTTTGCAAAGCCTTCCATGATGGTTGCTAACAGTTAAAACCGCCTCCAAAGTTTGATCTGAAGCTGTTAGTTCGCTTAATCTCCGTTCATGTAAAGCAGCGTTGTTATAAACAATGCGGCTTTACAATGTTGGGAACTTTTTGTTCAATGTCAGCAAATGATAGATTTTGAGACACAAATTAACAACTCCTCTAGTACATTCTTGAAAATTGGTGCCGTTTTAAGGTAAAATGGATGTCAAATTGTATTTTGGCTTCATGTTTTCTCACACTTTGTTTTCTCCTCCTTCTCCTAATCCCCCTCATCAAATCAAATGTCACGACTCCTCCAAGTTGTTGGAAACGGAAACTTTCCACCCATATTTTTTGTGCTATCATTTACTGACATTTGCAGATGCGCAGCGCATCTTTCGCCCCCCACTTAAGGAGGTAAATGGGCTTGAATTCGCCTATTTAATGTCTTCTATGGTGAAATGGCGGGGAAAAAAATATCTGACCTTTTGATTGCGTGCTTGAAATCGACGGTTGAATGCTTCTGCTTTTTGCGCAATTGGGTAAAAAACTGCCGACGGTATGGTAATTAAAATTTGAAATACTAGGCTTTGTTTAGGCAGAATCTGTCTGTGTACGTGAAGGTGGGTGTGGTTGTGTCCGGATGGATGGATGTCCGTGTGCTCTGAGTATTTACGTTCAGTTTGTTCTCTGTCCACCAGGAAAGGTCTCGTGTGCCATCTGCAATAAACGATGTCGAGGTACGGTACTCAAAATCGAGGACCACTACATCCACAAGCTTTGCTTCAAGTGCCATAGTAAGTTTGCTTTTCCTCAATTTTAGCGTTCTAAGGAGGACATAAATGTGTAATATCAGCAATAATGGAGTTTTGTTTTCAGCCCTTTCCCTTTTCGCCATCCAGAAAAAGGGCCTAACACTTGGGAGGAGTTTACATGAAGGAGTTCGCTTACCATCGCTTCTGTCTGAGTTTGGAGGGTATTGCACGTGTTTTAGATGCATTCTTGTGTGGCATTAGCTGTTAATAGAAAATTATCTGTCAAGGCCCAAGCAGGTTAATGAGAGCTCACAAACTCTCTTACATCCCCCATTTTCCCCTTTTTGGTGCTCCGATGAAATTGTCGCTCTCCTTACCAGTTCAGACATTAATCTTTGATATATTCTTAGATTTGTTCAGTGCAAGTAAAAACTGTCAAACCACCGACTTTCGTTTAGTTTGCTGTATTTCCTTTTTGGAAGGCATCTCATCACTCTTAAAACTTACAACTAACTGTAGGGGAGCATTTTCTTGGCTGCCATAGATTCTTCCATCCGTAGTAGAAGGATCTCTTCCATGCATTGCAATTGTTCAGTCCAAAGATGAGTCTTCTTTGAAGAGGGGTCTAAAAGTGGTAGAACTGCGCTTTTTATGCTGAAACCGATTAAGCAGGCCATTGGAGCCTGATGTCCTCTGCTACCAATTGTCACTGATTTTGCCCATAAACTCTTCTTGCAGAATGCGGAAAGGCCTTGGACGAAAAGGACTTCCAATTTCGCGACCAATGTCTCTATTGTCCTGAAGACTATCGTCAGGAATATTCCATCAAATGTGCTGCATGTGGCAATCCCGTAGAGGGTGAAGTTGTCACAGCTTTGGGAAGTACCTTCCACACTTTTTGCCTTCGTTGCTTCTCTTGCAAGTGAGTGAAAATGAGGTTCTTTGTCTTGACTTTTTGCTGACATCCAGCGCGTTATTTTTGTTAATTCTGGATTCAGTTCTTCAAGCTTGGTATGGCCTTATTTGTTCATCAATTCATAGGCCTTCTATCCACTTTGCACGTATCCGTCCATCCATCCATTCTTCCTTTCAAAGCATTTCCCACCCGTTTTTCCACCTTTTGCCCTTTTCAGCTGCAGTGTTCATTCCAGAATCGAAACAAATGTGACGCTTTTTCCATGTAGGCTGATTCTTTCCCTTGTTTTTAGAAAAATGAAGATTCTTTTACGTGCTTATCAATTAAAACTATCAGTAGTCATTGACAACGACTGAGCATTCCCTTTTTTGGCGCTGTGCGGCATTGTTGTCGGCTGGTTGGCATCACTGCCTTCTCCCTATGCCCTACCAAGAGACATGTGAGCTAAGCAGGATAAGTGGGGAATTGTTAAACGATCTTTTAAATGTTGGTACTCGTATTCTTATTTTTTCTGACATGACTATCACAGTGATATTGAAATGATCTTTTAATCGATTTTTGTTAGTTCCTTCTGTGCGATAGCGGTGGACAGTGGGTGTTAGCTATACAGATCAGGAAATTTCCGAATCTCCTTGAACCTCTCAGTTCCTCTGCTGACGTCGAGGGCGGAGAACTGGCACTTCCGGCACATGCGCACACATTTCAGTTTCCAACATTATGGAACATTTTAGAGCCTTTAAATTGGCAGCAGTGATGATCTCTTGAATCACTGTTTCCTTTTCTCACCATAACTTTCACTTGCCTTTCTCTAGCGAGATTTTAACTCGAGTTTCCACCTCACTTTTAGCTTCCTTCGAATTTTTTTTATCCTTTTGCTTGTATCTTATTCGTTCTCTCTTGTCTGGGATTGCACTGTAGCTCCAACATAGTGTACGCGGGGCACCCACATTCCATAATCTCTCCCTTCCTTTCGTCTTTCTACTTGTCTTTACTTTTGATGTCACCCTTCCAGTGCAGATGTGCTTTCCTCTAAGTCCACTTCTCGACTCAGATCTTGGTTGTCTGGTAAACAGGATGGGGCAATACATCGACTTTCAATGTCTCATGGCTTGTCCTTCTTTTGTTTCAGTTTTTTAAGGTTCCAGTCGAAAACAACAATATTTTTTCTTATTCTCCCCTTTTTGTCATTGATTAGGATTTTTTAAGCACTTAAAGTAGCGAAGTTGGTGGGACAATTATTAGGACTGGGCAGGGGAAATCGGATGATGGAAGAGAGAGCGTTTTGCGAGCCTTTTTTAGACAAGAAGGGGAAGGGTTGGGGGGAGGGGTTTGCAAATACGGGAAAGTATGTTCTCCTCCCTCATATGTTAATTAATTTGTCGTCTTGTGATCAGTGAGGCTAATTTGTTTCTGTAGTTGTTTGCTGCTCACTGATTCACCCATTGGTGCCTAATTTATGCGCATAGTAGAGGTGCCTTGGTTATGCTATGCAAGAATTTAGAGGCAGTAGGAAAGGACCACCTCTGCCCTCTACCCTTTCCCGTTTTTTGTCCGTAATGGGAGAACAAGGGCGTAATGCCTTTCTGTTTGCGTCATCAGCAGCGAAGACGACAGAGGATCGTTTGACTCACAATGATGAGGAGATAGGCGGTTGTCGTGATAAATGCCTAAGCTGCCTACTATGGTCTGTATTTGAGGCAGATTAACCACAACAACTTTCGCTCATTTTATTACTTGACGGTGACATAACAAACGTTCTCTACTGGAACGAGCGGCTGAGCTCTTTCTCCTTAATGGGTAGAATTGGCGACTTTCATTTTCGAATCAATCCTATCCAAGCCGGTAGGTGAAAGTGCTTATAAATTCATTTGACTCACACTTCTTGCGGAAGCCCAAGGCATCCATACGGATGATGCTAATCGGAAAGGGATGAAGAACAGAGAAATTGGCTCCTTTGAGTCTTGGGTCTTCGTTTTCGATAAGAATTGAATGTCAGCATTTGTGCGGCTGTTGTCCTTCACTTGCACGTGTCCGATGGCCTTGTGAAGCTTGTCATGCGGCCTAATCGAGAATATTTGGAGGCTGTGCGTGCACATGAAAGGCCACCGTCTGTCTGCTTATTCAAGCGCGTATGGGTTTATGTATGTGTGTGTGTGCAGTTCATATTTATTTCCGTCCTCGCGTCTACCTTTGGCACCGTACTTTGCATTCCTGCTTAATGCAAGATGTGACGGTCACGTAGAATTTCGCCTCATTTCGTACCGTCCCGGAACCTTGCAAACACTGTATGCCCTATTTCCAGCCAAACTGTTCAAATCGCCACTCTTCCATTTTTCCTTCTTCTCAAAGCAAGACTAAAGTCAAGGGCTATGTCTTTCACTTCACTCTCATCACGTTTTGGTCAGCTTGTTCACTTACATCAATCTTCACGAAACAGGCGCTTTCATTTACGGCTTATTTCCCCTCGACTTTGAGATCAAGGTGTTCCATAGTTCCCTCTAAGGGCACACGGAATGGGGAGTGGTCTTTGATAGATCCCAGTGCTTCCCTTTTTCCGCCCCTTTTTCACAGTAATGTGCAGGACCCACTACCCATCGCTCACTAGCTACTATCACCCACACTTCTGAACCAATTTTAGGAATTGCTACTTAGTAGTATTTAGTTTTAAGGCCTTCAATAGGGAGGAGAGGGAGGTTGGGAACAGGGAAGTAAAAATGTTAACTTTATTTCCACAGTTTCTGGCGAAAGAAGTTCTCTTTTTGACAGGCCACTTTTATCACTATTTCTGGACACGAAATCCAATTTCATGCGTAAAAGTTCGCTGAAAAAACATATTTCATGTCGTTAATTCTTTGAATGCTCCCTATCCATGTATTGGTGTTACGTGAATGATGTTGAAGGTAACCATTTGTGGACCCTCCACCCAACTGGCAGTATTATTAATACGTTTTCGAGAAAATTTTAAAAAAAGCTAAAGTTAAAGGGTTCTAATTCTTATCTTGTTCATTTACCTAAACAAAAATGACTAAGGTGAGATTCACACCACCTCCTTTATTCACCTCCAGTCGAACAATATCATCGGGTGAAAAGACAATGTCCTTTAACAAACGCTTTTACTGTGAAAAGTGTGTTCCTCCTCAAATTGCGCGAGAAGACAGTACCGGAGTTGAAGAGGTCATCTCAAATCCTCCCGAGAAATGGATCTCTTCCTCTTCCCCCGCACCTGCACCAGAGCTTTCTGTTGAGCCTCAAGAGAAGTCCCTGCCAAAGGTGAAGATTCCTAAGAGTTCCTCCCTTCCGCGTCGGTTAGGTGGTTTATTCCGTTCCAAGAAGTCACATTCGCAAACTCTTCAACCCATCGCTCCTTCAACTCAGATGGACGATTTGAATTCGAAGAATGTCACATTGACAAATGGAGCTGATGCTTTGACCGTCAATGTCGCGGAAGTAGATATGGCCAGTAAGTGACATACTCTTCATTAATTATACAACGAATATAAAAGTGCAAACGGAGGTCGATGTTAAATGCCCTATGATTGATGCTATACGTCCTATTCCTGCTGAATATAGGCCTCCTGGAATGCTGTGCTGCTGTAAAGGGAAAGGGATTTTCGTCGCCACAGAATGTGGTTAGTGTGTGTTGCCTCGACAAATTCAACAAGGCAGATGAGTGCAGAGCTGGACAGGGGAGAATAAGGGGATGATGGTCTGTTGTAGTGAGATCATGGTTTAACATTGATTGGCCAAACAGTTCGACCAATGAGAGGGCGAGAATTAAACGGTTGCTCTACATACACTACATACGCCACTAACCTTTACAAATTGCAAAAATCCTGATAGTTAAGATGCTTAAAATTTTAACAGACGGTGGATGCACTAATTTAGCAATCATAACCTAGCTTTCGCGAGTTCATATTAACGTCTCATGTACGCGATGTTGGCTTGTTACCATTCTGCAGAATGTCAGAAGAAAAACGATGAGACCCTGTTACCACAAAGGTGTGATGTTTAATTTGGGTCACATACAAATGACTTTGAGGGGAGAAAGTTGTGGGAGTGAGGTGGTGGATCTATGGGTGCCACATGACTGACTGATTGACATGGGATGCGTATCTTTTTCCAGCCTAGACAGCATACAAAAAAAAGCTCAGCAGTGCTTACTGTGGCATGATTTACTCTGTATGAAGGATACCCTGGAATACTGTGCTTGATTTTTTTCGTTCCATATCGCACATCAGTTCACTATACGCATCCAAAGACCACTCGAAGATGTGATACCGAACTCTTTCTTCTTTAGAGCCAGACAGTGTTATTGTTTTTTATGAGACAGGCTAAGATCGTATCATTAATAGTATAAGAAATTACCATAAATGACTTGCATTCACCGTGAGGTGATGATTATCACCTTGTCATTGACATTAAACATGCCTAAGCCGTCGGCAGGCTGGCAGTCAGTTAGTTTGGAGAGAAGTGTGATCATCGATGATGTGTTTTTCTCGAAGAAACTGTGCGATTACATTTTAATTCTAAAGCCTTTCTACCCCTTGGTCTTTGTTGACTTTAGGTACAGATTCTGGAATTGGAAAGAAATTCGACGTGAGTTCTCCTCCTCCCTTATACTGATTTTTCCCTCTTCTCTCTACTTTAATTAGCAGTCTATCTTGTGGCAGGATTTGAGCGGCATCGGTCACGTCAGGTGGGTAGAGTGACTGATTCCCCGGGCCATCGAGAAAAAATTTTCTCTCCTTTTTGTTCCTCTTTCCCCCTCTCCTTGCTCTGCCTTTGTCTTCTTGCTGACTACAAAATTAGTGCCGCTTTTTACAGTCTCGATGGGGCAAAGATCTACAAGCGAGTTATTTTCCTCTTTTCCCTTTAGCACAGCCAAAGTCCGACCTACAGCCTGTACTCCGGAGATGAAACCGTTCTCGTCAAACAACAAGATGTGCAAACCACTGTAAGCGTGTTGCCATTGTTGTTAATACCAAGGGTGTATCGCGTTAAATGCTGGTCTTATTTAGTCTACCTTCCCCTCTCTCCAACATTCCTTCATGCTCCTCCACTCCGCTTCTCTAGAACCTCATTCTTCCTCCCTCTCCATTCCTCCTCCCTCCCGCTTCCTTTGCCTCACTACTTCCCTCCCTCTCTTCCTCTTTTGAAACCACATCTGTTCGCCTTTTTCTGAGAAATAATGCAAAATCTGCTTTATGTTGCTTCATTTTAGGGTGAAGTAGACAGGCTGAACCTGGATAGTTGGTTTGTTTTGGAGGATTAGGAGGAACATCCAAAAGAGCGCACTCTATAAATAGGCTTGGAGGTATTTGCCTAACAGGCAAACAAATAAGCCCCTCTTCTAACTTTATATAAAGTAATATTTTGTTATCCAATGAGAAGTAAGGGATCGAAAGGAACTAAATGTGCTCACATGTACTCCTCCTTCCTATCTGAAGGCGCTTGTTTGTGAGAGGATCTCGAAACAAGTCGATTATGTTAAGAGGTGTGAAAACTCGCTCTCTTTCCCTCTCTCCTGTGAGGGTACTGCCCTACTACATCTTTCATTATCGTGAGAAGAAACCTTATCCACACTCTCTCACCGACTTGCCCATCTCTTTTCCTCTTTCAAATGTAATTGATCCGAGTACAGCCACTTCATGTGTTCAAATGCGCCCGTCTTGCTCTATCGCGACCTCCCTTTTAAGTTTTCACTGGCATGGAAGTGGGACAGGAAGGTGATGAACGCACGTAGAAACAAAATCAACACTGGAAAAATTGTTCTTTCCTTCTGAGAAGGGCATTTTAAAATACTTTTTTACTTGTTAATCTTTGTATGGAAGTTCTAAGAATTCCCTTCCTCGCTTTCACCTCCACTCTCGTTTCCCCTCCCTCCTTGTTGGCACTCTGCCAAAAGCTGTAAAAGATGCACACAGTAGCATTACGATCTGATCAGGTAAGGCTTTGAGATGTCTCCCTTTTTGTATGTGCTGTTTTACGAGAAGAAAGTTTTCTTATTCCGTCTTCTTTGGTGTGAAAGTCTTTGATTAATGAGGACGGCCTCAATTACACCACCTTTGAGGTTACTTGCTCAAAAGGAGTTAACGAGCTGATAAAGCGCATGAGCAGTTTGTTGTTAGGGTAGGGCGAAGTAAACGTCAATTCGTGGCACGACTTCCCTCAAATGATTCAGTCATGCAATCGCAAAGTGCATCTTAAGCGGTTTGAAAGTAGTTTTGAGGCTGTCGAACCCTAAATTGGAAGTATCCATGATCGTCGGTGCTTATTTTTACTTTCTACCTCTCACTCGAATTTCAGCCAATGGAGAACTACTCGGTGATACACAGCACAAGCGGTACCCCCGCAGTGCCTTATTCCCTCGATGCCGCATTGACCACACCTTCAATGGTAAATACTCTCTCTGGTGACGTTTCCACACTTCTCTTCGGCTCCGTAAAACGAATCTGTCCACCTGGTGTGGACTATGGCCACCAATATCCTGTCTCCTACCTACGCCTAGCTGAACAGGGTTACACTGCTGTTACTAGCTCCGATCTTCTCAGTTCTACCAGTCCTCTTTCTGCCACTACTACTCCGGCTTCCATTCGTCGTCCGCCACCCTCCGCTAGCGCATCTTCCACTCAACGTCTCTCTCGCCGAGATATGCCTTCAACTCACCATGCACAAACTCGCACATTGCCAACCAGCTCCGCGGATCCGACGTCACGACAAGTTGGAGGGTACATGGATCACCGGTACAACGCGCAGGTCTTTGGTGAAGTCGATGGTGCTAGGCCTGAAAAGGATCGATACACACGGTATAGGCAGCTATCCCCTGCCGGAAACTCAATGGGGCGAGCACTCAGCTCGGGTCGAAGTGGTGGTGCGCCTCCCAACTTCATTGTTCGCAAATCACGTGAGTCCATACTTAAGTCGTTTTCTCGTATTTTGTCATGCTATGGAACTTGTGACTGAGTGGCTTCGAAGACTGAGGAGTTAGTGTAACAGAACTTTTATTTCATCCATGCTTTTACACTAGGTGATGAAAGAGCTTAGTTATATCAAATTAGGAGTTTTTAAGAACACACCTTTCATCCCAATTGCTTCCAGCAAAAGTGGTTTTTGCAGCTATTTCAAGGTGGAAGGCATTGACTCACTTTTGTCAGGTTTTGTCCACCCTTAAGCATGAAGCAGACCTGTTCATTGTTTCGCCTTCTTGTTTCCTCTCTTTCTTTGTGCGCTGTTTAAGCGAAGCATCTCCAACTTATTGTTTGATGCATAGCGAAGCTTTGAATTAAAGTCGGTTCTTGTCTTGGTTGTGAAAAAAGTGTAAAAGATTCATGCAAACAGAAGCGTTGGATTCTAATCGTACCGACGAAGAGAGAATTGTTTAATGGTTCCCCACGTAGGGTAAGGAGCTCCTTGAAACGGTTGGGAGAAGGCGCCATTTTTGATCTGTCTGAGGGAATTCAACGACCATTTGGGATTGTGCAAAGGAATAAAGGCAATCCATGGTCAATCCACTGGTCTGCGAATTTATTAATGGATCCAGCTATTAAATTGCCTTCCACATTTTAAATGACATCGGCTTCATCACCTATGAAGCAAGGCATCCGACAATTACTGTTTTACCTATTCACTCACCTGCGTCCTCTTTTTATGGGAATTTTAGAAACCTACTCCTCCTACTCCACTCCGAATGTCAACAGTCGGCGTGGTAAGTGATATTACATCATTGTCTTTGTCCATCTGCTACTTTTTTAGCCCATATTGAATACGTGGCAGTTGTAACAGCTCCTCTCCACTCTCTTTTGCACATTTAGGCATACGTGTGTTGGGTGAGCTCTACCTGTCGTTTTTGTTTCCCATCCCTTGCAAAATGTCATTGTCATTACATTGCCATCACAGCTGATCGAGTTTTGGTTGTTTTCTCCCTCCTGTCGTTAGCTTTGGTGTTATTTTGCATTTCTTGAATCAGTGATACTTCGAACTCCGCCTCCAACCACCAACCCCTGTCTCCTTCATTCATTTCACCTATTTCTTCTCCAAAACCGTAGAATCGCATGACAAGAGAACTCTACTCCAGTTGTCATTGTTGGCGTTTCGTAGGTTGACCTATCCAAGCAATGAGCTTGAAAAATGTGCTGTTCAATGTGAACGCTTGGACGCTCTATTGCCCCTGTAGGACTGATTAGAGCAATGAAATTTGTAAGCCAGGAAGTTAGTAAATTGAAAATGACAGGAGGATAACCTCCTTCCTTCCCTCTTCTCTGCCTCCCTCCCTCCTTCCCGGAAATTGACAAACACAACGCCTCTGTTGATTTAACATTGATTAATTTAGATCCTAGCACCCAGGGAACCAGATTTCCTGTTTAAAAAAATCTGCTATGCATCAAAACGAAACATTTTTGAAAGGGTTAAAACCTGAGTTAGTTAACTTTTATGTGACGGTATTGTCAGGCTCAATTCTTCCCTTCTCAGCAGGGACAGCTGGATTTTATAGTCGAGGCATAGTAAGAGGCACTTTATTTTGCATCAACTCATCCATTTTTTCATGATGAAATGACAAGTAGAGACAAGATGAATTAAAATACGGGGCAAAGAGAATCTCCTCAACCGCTTTGTTGCATGTAGTTTGCTCACTACCCCCGCCTCCCTTTCTCCTCCCTCCGTTTGATTATGCACTTATTTATTTATCCCCCTTTTTCTCCTGCTCCGGTTGTTTGTTGTTTATTTTGTTTGTAAAAGTCTTTTTTGTTCTCGTTTTTGTTCCTTAAAATTGAAAATGCTATTTTTGTGCTCTTTTTAGTGCTTTATTAGTTTTTCCACTTTTTTTTACGATCTATAATTCCGTCTGTGCAATTTGATCCTCAAGATTAATCCATTGCACCAAACAATTGGATTTGGGGATGTGAATGCAATCGAAGGGAGGAAAATCGCTCTTTTGCGTGAAAAAATGGATAATTTAAATGCGAGATTTCCCTTCGGTGTCATAATAGTGACCGTGGTGGTTTGATTTAGAGGGTATGTAGCACCGGTAGCCTATCGTAGTGCCCTCTGTAGACTTCACTGGGTATGGCCTATCACCGCCTCTCCCATCCATCACCTTTCAAATCTGGTAACAGAAAGTCCTCAAATGAGGCACAAAGTGAAGTGTAGCCTTGTGACGGTTCGGCCTTATTTTATCCCCAGAGTCATATTTTTCTCGCCACTTTACCGTCACCAACCCTTTATCTGGATTGTCCTCACCTTATGCACCGAGGCAGTATAAGGTCATCAGATTTCTACTCCCAAGGATCGTTAGGGTCATAACAGGACTTGAGCGAACCAGCAGTTATGCCAACGAATCACTGATATCGATGTGACACCTGAGACAAGTTGATTCACTTGCAGAAGTGGCTCCTAAGGTATGCCTTACCACTTGGAATAGGGTTTCTAGCATAAGGTCGTAGGACCATCGTTCAAATGTCACCACATTTTTTGGGAACTAGACAGACATATAACGTTCGCACCTTTTGGCATGGTCAAACCTCTTTAAAATGGCGATTCCTTCGTCCGTTTCCACCGTCTCGGTTGCTCCAATTTGCTTGCTGTCATATCGGAGATCCCATCATTCATTGGACGTCGTGTAGGATCCCTCGAAACGGAACCACTGGAGACTAATAGCACAATTGTTCACCACATTTTCGTGCATGATTTGCCAGCTAAATTTTGCTCTTCTGACGTTTATCCACTCCCTCTCTAGAGCTAATTTAGTTTCTGCTCTTTAATTATTTCGTTCTAGCTGAATCAATGATGCGATCACCACCACGTACAGGCAGATCCATGAGTCCCGAGGCTGCTCTCTTGGTTCAAGCGGAGGCCAGACGTTTGGCAGCCTATCCGGGGGCTAAAATTCCTGATGCTGACAGCGAACCAGCTATCGATCGATATGATTGGCCGGCACCACCATCTCCGGCCGTTGTCATGATTGATCGTCGTGAGTCTTTTCTTTACTTTTCCAACACATTTTTGTGAATCTCGTCATCATGGAGAGACAAAAGATCAGGTCATACATTTAGCTAGTCTATGAACTGTTAATTCACTCGCTGAATCAATTCTAAGGTATCTTCATAATTCCCTGTGGTTCGTGTGTGAACTGTGACTTTTTGTTGCCGATTGTTACCTCAAAGTGACCACTCAATTTGGCCAAATATTTGACAAGTATAACGCCAATGAGAGATGCGTTTGGAAGGATTTAGCTTTGCTTACTTAGCTCTGCCTATATTACTCAAGAAAATGACTAGCAGGGACTTGTCAACTGGTGCACAGAGCACGCATGCGCATCAGTCTATTAGCTCAGTTGCCATCATTTTGGCTGTCAAACTGCTGAGGGCGTAACGTTTGTCGGTTGAATGTGCAACTGAAATCGGGCAAACGTCTATCCATCAGGTGAAAGATGGACAACAACACGTTACACCCGATGTAGGTGGAGGACAGTGAAGCGGTGATCGATGTGGGTGGCAATGTTGCAATGTCTAATGCATTTGCCTACTGCCTCGAATGGTATTGTACGAAGGTAAACAAAGTGGATCCACGGTCATCAATCGAGAGTTGATAAGAGGCTTCAGAGTTTATTTATTAACGAATGATAAACAAGCAGTCCGGATCTCGTATTGTTTGCTCACTGACTACTTGATTGAGTGGGTGAGAAGGGAAATTTATGGATGGGGAGGGATGATGGAGGGGAAGTGAGGTGTGGGGTGTGAAGAAATGGTAGTGATAATTTCAGATAGTCTCATGTTGTATGAACTTGAGCTACATGTTGAAGAACTGTTAAACTTATCAGGAGTTTGGTTTTCCCGTACACATGTTGGTAACCGTGTGTTTTGAGTTTATATTACTACTTTTGAGGTCTGCAATGTTGGTGAGGGGCAACCGCTTGTCTACGTTTGGTTACTTGTTACAGCCAATCAGAAATGAAGGCATTTCAGTTAACCAATGAACACGCGGTAGATGTGTTAGACCAATTACATATTTAGTAAAAGAAAATGCTATTAATGGACTTTTATTCTGTTTTCTCTTCACTGCACCTTGCAGAACGGAACTAATATGACCTTACACTTTCTTGCGATACTAAAATTTCCGGTCTTGAGCCTCATTTTTGAATGGCCTAACAGCAACAATACAATATAAGAATCAAAATTTTCCGATATTCTTTTCGTAGAGCTAGTGTAGGGCTGTGAGAAGGTCTCTTAGATGCAATCTCCATTGTATGGAGTTTGGTAACTATCTCGAATGGTTTGTTGTGGGGTGTTTTGTTGTTTTGAAGATCTTTCAGCAGATTGACGACGTAGGAAATGTCTACGCAGTTTATCCCCATAACGCTCATCCAAGTAATAAACATGAGTGAATTCTTGGCGTCATGGGCTCAAGTGGCCCGACTCAGCACAAATATGAAGTAGCATGTTGGTAAGAATGTTTGGTGAATTAATTATAGAGCATGGACATCTGGGGACAACTTAATGCAGTATTAATTCGATCTATAGGTTATCATGAGCTTGCCGTGATTTCGGCGTCTCACTCTTCAAGTCTGCCACTTCTGCTACAGCTTTAGGGCATAGAGTGACTAGTATCAGGATGATACTGCAAGCAGTGTCGGCAAGTTTATCCTGTCGGTAGGATGTCTGGGTGGAGTTTATGTTAACCGAATACCAAAGTGACAAACCGATGGCATTTTGGCCGGTCACCGTTAATTCACTTCATAGGTGACAGTACCAAACCTGCAAACCGATAGTTGTCTCGGTCGTGATGGTTCGATCTCCATCCTACATCGCAGAGGTGGCTTACCGATGCCTAACCCGCTATCAGACTGATAGACTTTTGAAAGATTTTTTTGTTGCACGTGTGAACCCCAGTTGAAACATGAACTTGTGTACCCTCGGCCTGTTGATACGCATAGTGACCTTATTTTTGTTGCAATGCGGCCGAAGATTATCTGAGTCGCATCGCTACATCTCATGCTACCTTGACGAACTGCTGGCAACCACTGGATCCACGCGTTGCTGGTGCGGTGAAATAGGGCACTTCCTCATCTTGGTCTGACACCAACTCATGTTGTATTTTGCCATTAGCGCAAGGTTCCTGCGACTATCTGCCTTAACGTTGCTCATTTAGTGGCCTTGACCCTTTCAATTGACAACTGACTCTTGACTACTTTGATATGTGGCCTTGGAACTAAAGATGATTTAATTGCAGAATACATTATGATTGAAGTCTATACCGTGCTTCCCCATCGTCCCTCTTGTTACGTTCATTTTTGTCCACTCGTGATGGCAAGGTTCTCTTGCTTCAAAAAATTAAGTCGCAGATCTCTACCCTCGAAATGTAGGACCGTAAGTGTCGTGTGCAAAGGGCTCCGAAGAACTGCTAGTTTGCACTTTACTTCTCTCTCTAGAGACGAGTTTGATGGAGGTAGACACGGAAAAGCGGCCGAAATGACGAGCCCACCCGGGTTGATGCTCTCCCTTTCCCTTCCGAGTCGTCTGACAAAAGAGCATTTTGTGTGCATGATTTAACATTTTGTCTCTTCAAATGAATAGCTTAGGTTAATCTCTTGGCCCAAGCCTCCGATGGATGATTGATCTGTTTTACTTCTCGAGGTTATGACAACACCCGACCCATTCTTTTTTTTGTTTTAACGAAATCTAAGTTTTATTTCTTTTTGAGAGGTATTTGAAGCCATCCGATGCACATGCTTTGGCCCAATCAATCAACTCTCGACCTACTTGAGCTTCATGTTTGTTTTTCTGGACGGGCAAATCTGTCTCCAGTCGGATGTGTAGCGCCATCACTCTAAAAGATGCTTCTGAGTATGATCGGGAATTCCACTCTCATACGATTGTCATCTGCGGTTGAAAGACTCCAAACGTCTGATTGCCTGGATGTCAGAACAATAGGGTAATTTGCATAACAATTTTGGATGTCTGTTCTGAGAATGGAAACTCTAGTAAAAGGAAATTTCGATGCTTCACGTAGAGGAGGAATTGCACATACTTGTTGATGTTAATGTGTTAAATACATCCTGGAGTCCATGTAGTTGAAAGTCTACGATGAACCGTGCGTTGAATAACTCAATTCACACGAAAAGAGGTAGAGACAGCTGGAATGGGGCAAAGGTATATGCATTAGGTGGAAGATGAGCACTCGATGAAGGTGGAGGGGTAAAGAGGGAAATGAAGCGGTGATCGGAGTGGGTGGCAATGTTGCAATGTCTAATGCATTTGTCTGCTGCCTGGGAAGGCAGTGTACGAAGGTAAACAAAGTGGATCCACGGTCATCAATCGAGAGTTGATAAGAGGCTTCAGAGTTTATTTATTAACGAATGATAAACAAGCAGTCCGAATCTCGTATTGTTTGCTGACTGACTACCTGACTGAGTGGTGGATGGGGAGGGAGAGTGAGGAGAGTAATGGTCTGACTGGCTTGTGTTGGAACGGAAATGATGTGTTGCGACGCTAGGCAGGTAAAGTGGTCATTGTCGGTTGGCAAAGCACTGAATCTTCACCCCCCTATGGAAGGGATTTTCTCCGAGGGGCAGCGTTCATCTACTGAAAGCAAGGTCTCAGACGAAATATCGTAACACATTCTCTTACAATGATTTCGAAATTTTGCAAAGAAGCGAGGTTGAATTCGCCTCACGCTCATCTTCATCTGTTTCTCTTCTGCCGTTTGTCACCTTTTCAGGCCCCACAAGCAGATTTTGGTAGCTGTTTCTGTGGCACATAGTAGATCCTTTTTTTAATCTTTTTTGTAATTAGTTTACTTTTTATTTGAACTGTCACAATAATTTGCGTTTAAAGCCGTTGCCTATTTTTACTTTATGGGGACATTTTATCCAGCACAAACTAATTCCCTGCCTTACTTTTCTCCACCCTCTCCTCGACTCCAATTTACTCACCTTGTTTCTCACTGAGCTCCACGCCGACTGACATAATCTCCATCCTCGATCTCCTTTTCCTTTCTTTTGTGCCACCGTAATACTCTTCAGCATCATTTAACCCCTTAAAAAAAGCTTTGCTCGATCCGACTTTTCACCTTTCAACACTTGCATCTACATTTCCTCACGACCATTGCTAAGGTGCCTATCGAATTTCTTCCCATACAAATTGATACACACACAAACCTATTCTGAGTTAGATCCAACTGGATCTTGTGTCTCTTTTCTACGTTTGGAATTGCCTCCTCCATCTCAGTTGCTTTGCCGTCTTTCCTCTCCTCGTCCTCTTCATTACCTCCACTTTTGTCACTTTAAGCATTCAAATAAAAGAGCCATTGGTCCCATTTTTTTTTCTGGTAGCCGTGCTGCTATTTTCTATTTCTCAATTCAAACAATGCGGAGTTAAAAAAATTGGGGGCTCGGTAATCTGCACCTAAGACAAGGAAGTACCCTGTCACCATCTGTCATCAAAGTGTCAAAATTTAATAACTTCTACTCTCTCAAAAGTGGTGGATGTTGACAGGAAAAGTATGTATCGATAATATGCATGTATTATTTATGAATCTTTCTATGCCATAAGTGTTTTGTCCCTTGGGGCAAAGGAAAATAATGCCCTCAAGTCTACTCACCTCCGTCCTTGCCTCACCTCTCCCTCTTAACTGGCTATCCCACTGCATATGCAATTAAATAGGGCAGGAAATCGGTTTTTTTAAAAACGGAGTGATCTTTTGAAGCCTACCACCTTCACCTTTCCAACTCTTATCAAGGGATGGAGAGGAGGAATGAGGCGGATTCTCACTTTGATAGTACATCTGCTTCAAATGCTACACAACCTCATCTAACAGTCTTTTTAACTTTAAAACTAAACGTAATTTCACAGCCTAGTAGCCTTGTCAATATTTTAACAAATAATTTGAACGAATGCTTCTCAATCTTACCAACATCTTATTGGTTGAAACGGAGGATGAGAAAACCAAAGGTTGATTATCTCAATGCTGATTATCTATTAGCTTTGACCTTGCTCTTACTCATTTGGCTCAAAGTGGAGCCAAAAAACTGACATCTCTCCTCCGTCTCTATGACTGTCTTCTTCGCAGTTTTTTACGGATTCAATTCCTGCTCTGATTCCTTTTTCAGCATTATATCCGAGTGTCGCAAATATGTGATTTATGAGTACTATCCCCACATTGCATTGATAACTCGAGTTTTAAACATTAACGTCGTAACTTCTTTCTGCTCACTCCCTTCCTTTTGGAGGGTGTTGAGTTGATCAGTTTACGAAATTCTCCAATGCTCATGGCACCTGGTAGTGGGTGTGGTAACCTCTTTGTCTCTGCAAAAAATCTCACTAAAGTCAGTGTTGCCGTGTCCAGTGGCCTAGACATTTAACCCAACGACAATCGACGTACGTTGCTGGAAACATCGAGAGTAGATCATACGATACGGTTCAAGTTCCATCAAGGCACAGGTTCGTGGTGCCAAATAGGGGTAGAAATTAATGCCACAACTCTATATCGCTTTTAAATTTGCACCTTCAGCTTTTTCGAAAAGGCCATATTTTTTTCCTACGTTTACTCGTAGGAAGGCACTAGGAACTGTTTGGTTGGCAGTGGTTATATGCAAATTCTCACTGAATGTGGCGCCCTTCTGCTTGTGGCGCTAGTTCACGAGCTCTTGCCCGCCCACCGCCTCCACTTTTCGCCCCCCATCTCCACCCAGGTGGTTTGCCAAGTGCGCATGAGTCAGGCAAACCATCTATTCGCGAGGGTGCGGCTCATGCTCTTTTTGGCTGTGCATCTGACCAATAGCAGTGAGGAACTTTGGCGTCTTTTTCAAAACGGGCCAATTAACTCATACCATCATATTGCTATGCCTCCGCCCGATTTGCTTTCATGCCGATCGATTAAATCAACTAGTTTTGTTTTAGAAAGCAAGTTGAATTATATTGCATTATTTATGCAAAATTCTGGTCGTTACCATCATATACGTAATGGACTTGTAGTTGAAATCAGAAATAGTGGCGTCACTTTGACCCAACTTTTTATAACAGTGAGAGATTACGTGGCTAAGGCGAATGTTAAACGCAGTTCATGGGTTAAGGGCTTGTCATCAACTGACTTAAAAAAGCCACATTACTCAAAATGAGAAAAGCGTTCAGCCATTATGTGACAAGCTGGTAAATAACAGAAAACATCAAAGGTTTCCGATTTGTAGTTCGAATGGACGAGATGCTTGTTGCCTTGCTGATCAGTTGCCAGGATGGGGACGTATGATGGAAACGAGTTCTGGTAATTCAACGTCCTTCGGAAGATCAAGTACATCAGGTGCCCTCCTTATTGAGTGAGCGCACTACTGGGGCCCACTTGACATTACTGAAGGTGTCTGAGGTCTGTCCATTTGGGCACTTAGATTTAGCTAAAGATTGAAAAACAAGAACCTTCTCTCAGAAAATAGTTGGTAAGTTTTAATTATTCTTCCTTTTCAAGAGAGGTCATCGTACGACCTCAGTCCTCGCTTTTAACTTTGAGACTGGATTAAGACAGAGAAGGGAGAGGATGGGGGACACTTGATCATCTCTACTTCTTCTTCGGCTTCTTTGGTTTTGCTTTTGGGTATGATGTATTGAAATTTGGAGACGTCTAAATGCGACACCTTTAACATTTCCGTCAGCTCTTGGAAGTTACATCAAAAGGAAGCAAAGGCGGGGAGCGTCGCCGCAATTAATTGTGTGACTGTGTCATGTAACATCCTGTTCTGCCAGGTGAAGCGACTGCTTTAGCTGCTGCCTGTCAAATTTGTCTTTCTTATGTGAAACTGTGAAGCTGTTTGTCAGCTGCAGGCAGGAAGTGTGACCTGCGAGGAAGGAGTAGCGCTTTTTGATCACATTGAATGTGCTTTACGTAGTGCGCTGATGTACCGGCAAAATGGATGCAGAACCCTCTGAAAGTTCAATTGTGGAAAACAATAAGATTTATACAGTTATTTCCCGAAAATAATTGTTATGCTAGAAGGTTGGAAGAATATACTCGTTCATCCTCAATATTGTCGTCTACCTCTGCTCTTTGCCGCATGAATATCGATGAGTTGACGGGGAAGCAACGCTTGAATTTTGAAAGAGAAAAGGAGCGGGTGAAGACGAGCTGGTGTCTCTTTTTTTCCTTTTTAGCTCAGTTTTTACACCTAGCAGCGAAGTACGAGGTATGAGATTTGAGGTGGGAAGTTAGATGTTATAGTGTCTTGAGTGATAATGTCACGTTCTTTCAACTGATCCACCAAATAGAAAATTGCGCCATTCGGCGACTCAGAGTGTTCAATGCTGTGTTCGGTTACTTGACAAACGTTACGTTGAGGACGTGTGAAAGAAATGCGTAATTACAGATTAGTAGACTCAAAGTTTCCCTGTCATCTTTTAGGACTTGGCATTTGACTTTTCTCCTAGTTCCCCTAAACTTTCCATTACTTTATGCAGTTTGTCTGGATGAAAATCCTTGACACTCCAACCCTGATTAGCCACCTTCTATGGATGATTCGAGGTCTTCGTGTTCAGAACTCAACAGTATTTGAGTGATTCCATATGGTGCGCCAGAACGGGTGTGGTTTTTTGGCTTTTCAATGGGCCATGCAAAAAGGTCGTTCCGCAGCGTTCATCTACCTTGGACTCTCTATTGAGGATGATTTTTGAAACCCTCGATGCAGACCTCTGAAGACTTCATCCTCTTATTAATTCATTTCCACTTGCAGATTTTAAAAAAGCTTTATCTTTCCTAAAAATATTGCATCTGGGTCTTACTGTTGTTTTTCTTTGATCAAGAATGATTGCTTAATTATTAAGGAAGAAATGTTTTGCACATGGAAATGTCAAATCCCATTTCCCATCGTCAAAATTGGGGAGAAATGTCATTCTATGCCGACTTCAAAAGTTCCATTTGACCTGAGGTAATGTTTATTGCAGGACGGGAGAAAGCTATGAAGAGTGGAACGTTGCCAGGTGCTAGAACAGTCACCAAATCGGAGGAATCGAGCTCTGACACACCAACTCTATCACCCGGCACTGCGCACTCCTTGTCGCCCGAAAAGGATGCACCACTTACTAGTGTGGAAAGTAAAATTGACACACTGAAACGTACCACTGGGAATTCGGGGATGTCAGCGGTGAGTTTTTTGCAATCATTCTTCGGGTGGATTAGCCCGAAGAAAGGTATCCATAAATGCATTTATCTGTTTCATACCTATGTTTCACCGCCTACGACCACTTTATGTTGTTTTTTCCAACTCATTTCACACCCAAAATCCATCTGGACACTAATAGATCTACTCTTCCAAGAGCCACTCTTTTAGGCCGAGGTTTTAGAGGTCTGAGGCAAGCTCAACATCAGCCAGAGTAGAATGAGAGAAACACAAACATTTGACCAATTCGGTCAAATAAGAGAGAGTGCATACCTCCCTCATCCTCACCTTGACAATTTGAGTTCGTTGTCTTTTTTAGACTGTCTGCTTATTTTTAAGCCTAAAAACTCTTATACGATTTCGCACTCCATTAGGTCGGAGAATGCGATGGAGAGTGAAAGGGAGGGCTAGAGAGCTAGATAGAGATGGGACAGGACAGGAAAAGTGGTGGTGGTGGGTTTGGCTAGAGGTTAGGCGAATGAGGATGTGATGGTGCTGGTGGTGGTGGTGGTGGTAGATGCGAGACATTAATGGGACCGACTTTGCGTGAAGTCGAGCGAAAAAAGGCGGGCGTTCGCAGTCGGATCTGTGAGCATGATGCAGAAGAAGTTTAAATGTAAACGGCGATAAGTAGAGCATCTGCAAGACTCTTTCTGTCCCTTTTTGCAAACAATTTCCTTTCAATCCAAAATATGATGAATCAGCTGGACAACCAACCCCTTTTGGTTCCCTTTTGCGGTTTATGACTCACTAGGCCGTCATCAATCGTGATGCAGCTTTAAAATGGCGCGATGCATTAGCATTGCAAGTCAGGGGCCTCAAATCACACCAATTGGGAGACTGTGACATCATAGCAACATGAGTCCATCATTGTGACAGGCTAAAACCCCAAGCTGTCATCGGAGCGCCTATTTTCGCTCGTAACAGATGCCGGCTGGCTGAAAATTTTAACAGGAGGATGCTTCATGCTCTGCATAAATAAACGCTCTCAGGCTCACATTCTTAGCAAATTTCTCCCTCTCTCCACACTCTCTCACCTCTCCCTCCATTGAATGTGCGAATTCGAGTTGTTTATTTTTTTTCCCATTCTCTTATGGTTCGATACTCGGCGGCGGAATAACAAGCAATAAATCACGAAAAGGAGGTGATGGGTGAGAATTTTATGCCTTTGTGATCGCAAAACGGCGCGACTTTATAGCAATGCATTTTTATGACAACGCAACAGCGACTTTGTAGTGGGTGTGTGTGAGAGAGAGAAGGCGAGGAGTGGAGTTGGAGAGAGCAAGAAAGTGAGAGGCAGAATGGACAAGGAAGACTCACCAATATAAGCATAATTTAACAACAAATGTGAGGGGTGAGGCAATCTCTGCGTAGTCCTTATAAATTTTACTTCTCCAGCCAAGCCGACCAAGGGGATAGGTCGCGCAGGTTGTTGTATTTTTCGGTTACCTGTTAACGCCTTGGTGGGTTATTTGAACTTTGAATTTAAAAAATGCATTGTGTGCGTGGTCTTTGCCTCGTCTTTTTTGCCGTTCGATCCCCACGGCCATTCAGGTGGCTTTTTTGTCCGAAGATGGCTGTTCCTGCTTGCATGACCGAATTGATCTATTGAGGGAATAAAAGAGGCCAACTACTCTCCTTTCAAACTTTTATTACCAATCTATTGGTTTGGTGCACTAATCCTGCTGGTGAACTGGACAACTAGAATATCACATGCGTGAAGAAATCTGAGACTTCATAAAAACGGGTTTGTATAAGCACAAAAAAATGACGGATTCATAATCAACGAAAGTAGGTCTTTTGATTGGCTGGAAATCATTCACGTTTCCACTCGAGTTTATGAGGTTACCAACAATCACTCTCGCATGCATTTATCAAACATTGAGAATTTACTATCTGGGGTGGATGAATCGGTGCAGTCCCCTCCTTCGGTCTCGGTTTATTTGTCGCTACAGTCAGGTAGTTTATCACTAATGCCTTTGAGGTGGTACCCTCTGCCGATGTTTCACACCTTCTTGCACAACAATATTTGCAAGAAGTTTCACCACCCTCTAGACCACATCCAAGTTGGTTGTAAACATCTTGAAGTGCTCCTGTGCTGTTGACAATTGACACGACGAGGCTGGGTTTGAACACCCGAAGGTATCAATAAGATGTACAGTGGTGCTGATAGCTAGTTGAAAATTTTCACATTTTACCTAAGAAGATAGCTTTATGTTACTTTCATATCAGGCTGTGGCACAATATGTGGAAGAGGAGGAGAAACGCCGGAAGAACAGTTCGCCTGACCTTGACCCTATATCAGCTTCAAGGTCACCCAGTGCCAATTTTGAGCCTCCCTACAGCACTCGCTATGCCAATCATCGTTTTGCATGTAGGTTTTCTTTTTCGCCTTTTTTTCATTTAAGGAGGGAAGAAAACTGAAGGTGTCTTTTGAAATCCCAATTCCATCTGAAGTGTAGGGCGGCTAAAGGGAATTTATGTAGTACAAGTGGGAAAGTTGACGTATTCAAGGCAAAAGGGAAGGCGGAGAATGAGGATGGGTGCGATCGTAGTAATCTCATTTTATTAAGGAAGTGAATTTACACAGGCAGTAGGCCGTCCGTCTCCTGCAATTCTTCTCTTGCTCCCCTTTTTACCTCTCAATTTATTGAATGGAAGGCTGTCCAACAATTCCCATGACATTTTGCCAGTAGCTGAAAGAGGTCATAGCTCACCTCACCTGCAGTAATTCCAATAGTAGACATAGTCACAACCTTGGATCCACCTCAGAAGCCCCTTCACAGCTTCTCATCAGTGACTGCAGTTGCACCAAAGTTAATTCGACGGGTCAGAATAATTTTCTTTCGCTCATCATCAGAACGAGAAGGAACAACGTCTATCATTTATTTGCGAAAGATTTGTTGAGGCATTTTAACTCACTTCCTTCTAGGTCGACGTGAAAAGACTTTTGATTCCCTCCGTTCTGTAGCACGTGAGTCCTAAACGTTGTTCTTGAGGCTGTGCGTCTACTTGTGCATCCGTTCAAGGCTGATCGTTATTATTTTCAAGGGTGGGGAAACAGTTTATGTAGGGTTGTGTGGGTGAGGGTGCAAGCGCGTCTATAGTTGAGTTGACCCTGGCTTTTGACCGTCTAATAGCGCCCTCCCGTTCCACTCTGAGACGTGAGGAGATGAGAGACGGCCTCACCGCCACGAGAGATCACTTCTCCACCTCACCGATTAGTAAGTTGCCTTATACCCATCGACTCGACTCCAACTCGGCAACACTCAACAACGAGTCACTATTCCAATTGCTCGTTCGCCCGTCCATCTACTGACGCTTGCGTGCTTGTTATAACTCACATCTGCGCTCTGTGTGTGCGTGTGTGTAGTTCTTTCCTTGTTCCGCTCTCCTGTTCCTCCCTGCCTTTGCATGAGTATGTTCCGATTGCTCCCTCCTCCCTCTCTTCCACCTCTTCCCCTCTCTATCTGTTTGGGTTGAGAAACAGTGTGGACGACTTACCCTCCGATGATTAATGACTGTGAAAAACTTTGTATTCACTGAATAATTCCTCATCGTTTGATATTTGAAAGCAAAAAAAGTAGTGTATTTTTTGCCGCTGAAAGGCCTTCTAATACAGTTAAATTGGTTTGACAAGTGACATGTGACATTGACATGGGGGATAAGATGGAAAGAAGTGGTATTTTACCATGTGATCAAAAAAAAAGCATCGAACCGTTTCCGCTTTTTCCTACGGTATCTCGATTCAATCATCTATTGGAACTTGTAAAGGCTTTTGTGCGTGGGTTTGTGTGTGACTCTTTATGAACCGAATGTGTGTTGTGCTGGAGTTGAAGAGACCTCTCTGGCAATAAGCATATTCAGAAGATTTTTAAACTAGATGATGAATGTGTTATTCGACGCTGTGCAAGTCGAGAAAGTGACTGTCATATGCCAAGACTCAACAAACGGCAAGAAAATTAAAAAAACTGTCTGTGTCCTTTTTATCTCTCGTGGCTTGTTAGGAGGAGCGATTTTGGCGCTTCAATAGCCACCCACCTCTTACTGATCCACTCCATATGTCCGAGGAAGCCGCAATTGGTAGGTCTTTGAGGGCAAAACTTTTCAAGAAGTCGCCACACATAACCTCATGCTTCGTGTCTCAGATCTTAAGCATCAAAATGAATTACGAAAACAGCATCCGGTCATTTAGCTCCTCCTCTTCCACAGCCTCTTCCCTTTCTCCAAGAAATGCACTCTAATTGAATGCCCTTTTTGTTTGATTGGCTAACACACTTAATACTTTTCCTAAATTCACACTAAAAGCTGTGAGTCGAGAATTGTCGGCCAATTTCACTTCATCGGACGCTACTCCAATCCGTTTTCATGATGAGGATATACTTCCTTTATTACTTGTAGGAGCCTCTCGATCTAGCACGATTTTGGGCGAGCAGAAACTGTCTGACTTCATCTAAGGCACCCATTCGTCCTCTTCTTTGCCCTCTTTGTCCTACATTGTTTTGCTGCCCTTACCTGCATGCTCTAACCTTTGTTTCAAGCTTTTATGACGGTCATCTTAAAATCATTCGACTAATTAGAGCGTTCACTTAATCCAAAATTCTACTTCACTCAAGGAAAAGCAATGAAGTGGTGCGTTCATTTTCCATTTTTTTCTCTCCTTGTTGTTTTACACTTTTGACAGTTCCTCGACCTGGCTACACTTCGGGCATTCTCTCCTCGCGTCCAGTTAGCCTTCCACGAGGGGTGAATGGTGTTGCCTCCACTGCCACCCTGCCACCATGGTCATCTACACTGTCGCCAGCACAGCGCAAGATCTTTGCGTCCAACACATCGAGAACTCTTCCAGCCAACACAGCTTCTGGCCCATTGAGTGATTCCAGGAATGGAGGCTTTTCGTGTGAGTTCTTTGACTTTGCCTAGCGTTTCGCGTCGGTTGCAGTGGACATCTTTTACAAGCGGATGTGTCTTGAAGAAGAGGCTATTGGAAGGAGAGTAAGCATCCATAAACTGTCCCAGCCATTAAGATATATTTCTGATCAAATATTCCGTTTTTAAAAAGGGAATAATTCTGGAGATAGTTAAAAAGATTTTGCACTTTCGTATCTTCGTGAAAAAAGGGAGAAGACGAGAGATAAAATGGTTGTTGTTGTCGTTTTTGTTCTTATCTTGACTGCTTCAACCTGTCACTTTATTCTTCATGTGCGCATTGTTGCCCTGGGAGCGAAGAAGGCGATGGGAAATTGTGCGAATTTAACTGCGTAACATTCAGACCTGCTGCAGACATTGAAAAAGTGCATTTGCCATCTTTAGTTGGGAGAGAGAGGTGGCCTCCAGGACCTCGTCTTCCGCAGTGCCTCGGACTTCCAGTCGACATTTCATAAGTTGAGAGCAGAATTTTTCCATCTCTCCCTCCCCTCTCTCGGTCCAGTCTCCTGACGGGACTGTTTATCTTAATGCATAACACTAGCGTGTCTGTTCTGTCGCCTTTTTTGAAATTCTGCAATTTCCTCAGGCAAAACTCACTACCATTAATGCGGCTCAAAACAATTGTTTTACCCAAAGTAGGAATAGATTGACCGTTTTATAATGTCCAATTTAGTCATAAGCATTTGGAAATGGTGAAACATTCACCACGCTTTATAGTGTCAATCTCTCAGATGAGGCAACCACAACAGCCGTATGAATTTGGCTTTCAACAATCGACGGTGCAATCGAACAGTCAAAGTTAAAGAACTCTGGAAAGACTTCCTCTTCGTGTGTGCAACCGTTGAAGTAATGCCTCAGTTTGGATTAACCATTGAATTAAATGCATGGATTGGTAAAGCAAGAGTGGAAAAAGGTTGCTTTAAATATAAGAACTTGAATAAATTTGGTTTTTAGGAATTTCAAGGCATCTAAGGCATTCTTTTGTGCATGTGTGGTCGGTTGCATGTACAATGCTTCCCAGCTGGATCACAGTTTTACCTGAAATTTGTCTAAAAAGAGGCACAAGAACGTTTTCCTCACACAAAATGCCATGAAGCATCATATTTCTGCAAAATTTGCTTGTGAGATGGAGAAGGAAGCGTTCTTGGTGATCTTTGAACCATCGTTGGGTGCAGTGAGCGAGGCATGTGACCTACTATCTCTTCGACCAGAGTCCTTCCACCTCCTAAGGGAATCAGGTAGGGAATAGGCAACGCAAAGAAGGGATTGTAATGTGAGCGATGCAAGGTTTTGGAATACAGTCCTTTTGAACAACTCATTGCAGAAAATACCCTTTTATTTTGGTAGCAGCCACCTCAGGACTTTCGATGAACGGTGTGGTGGGTACCACGGAGGTACAACTAACGCAACCTTCGATAACATCAAAAGCGGTTCAGGGCACCCACCGAGCGCGTTCAACCACTCTCACTGGTGGCCTTCCACCGCCCTCAATTTCGGGTCTGCGTCCAGTTGCTCCTCGAAATTACAATTATCTCGGGGGCACTTCTTTTGAGCTCTCTCGTGGACGTCCAACAACAACTGCAGCGATAAGTACTACAAATGGTTGGAGGGCTGCTCGAACGGCCTCCGAGAATGCCCGCTCCACTGCTAGAGGGGGATCGACTGCCCTTCTGGATGATGAATATCCGGATGTTCAGAGCTGGTTGCGACCAACCAAGTCACAACAATGTCAAGAGCAGAAGGTATTACGCCACGTCAGTCTACAAGTTATTTACTAGTTCACTTCCTCACGGGAGCCTTACTGCAGTCGCTCTTAGTCAATTTGACTTAGCAGTTATTTTTAAGAGCGGTTTGAGTGGGATGAATACTATTAAGGAAAGGTTCTGCACCGTTGGTCACTTGGCACCACAGTGACGAATTCGCCTCTTAACCGCAGAAGAAATTGAGAAGGTTGGATATGCATCATCAATTACAGTAAGAAGGGAAAAAAGGTGCATCGTTACCACCTTTTCGGTTTTACATGGTTGACTTGACAGGTTAGGCGAAGTCTGTCAGAATGAAGTAAAGTCGAAATCTCTCATTTCTCTTGGACCTTTCCACCCATCCATGCGTATGGTAAACACACTCCCCTCCCCTCTCTTCCTGAAGGCTCAACTCACTCTATCGCCTATTCTCGCCTTCTGGCGTTAAAAAGTGCCAATTTCTTTAACATTAGTAAGGCTTTTTGTGACCTCTAAAAAAGTTAAAATGACATGCTTAAAGTCCGGCGTCACAGTGTTGGGGTAATTAAATGCGTCTCTACCGCCCATCGCATCCTCTTTCCTCTCTTCATATTTCCGCAGCTGACCTTTTTAGGTTAAGGGTAAAAAGAAGCTGGTAAATGACTGTGTTTCCACAATTTAGGTCTATTCATATGACCAGTTAAAGCTCTCCTCAGAGGCCAACCTGAAGGGTATTGACGGAAGGCACCGGGAGGAGTACCTTTCCAGGGAAGAATTTGAGCGCCTTTTTAAAATGCCCAAAACGGCATTCCAACGCCTACCAGAATGGAAGAAAAGTGATTTAAAACGACGTCTTGATCTCTATTAATTTAGAACACTACTGTTTAACCCCATTCACTCGATCATCGGTTCCTTCATCCATTCACTTCTTTGATCATCAAATCAGGCTACCTTTCTTGTTGCCTTTTCCTTCTTATTTGTCTCTATATTTGACAACTCCTCGAGGAGGAGGCGGTAGGGCGCAGTTTCGTGGATGCATAGACGAACACACAAAGTGAGGTCCACCCTACAGCTGGAAAATTGACAACCCAAATCAACTCTCCACCTACTTATGAAGAATTCAGCGTCCAACTGCATATGTATTTTTGATGTCCAAATCCGCATGCTAATCTTTTTAATTTGGTCCCTCCTTCTTGTCCCCTCTCCACCCTCTCCTTTTTGCTCTTTCTCTTCATGCACACACGATTGCTTATGTACACTAAAAAACGAAAAGCCTTTCACATTTGCCTCGTATTGTCACTGCCTAATTTTCCCCTCCTCCTCCTCCTCCTCCGCCTCCCTCTTCCTGCTGTTATTACTTTGAGTTCTTCTTTTTCTTTTTTTTTTGCTAGAAAAGAAAAGGAGAGGAAGAATATCACGGAATTTGAGGCCACCTTAGATTGATTTGAAGTAGAGAACTGAATAAATATTCTCTTTCTAGTTGCTTCTGCTTTATTGAGGAAGGAAGCACCATAGCCTACACTTCCGCGGGGATGGAGGTCGATGTCTTACATCAGAAGAGAATGCATGAACTAGATATTAAGATTGTCACATATGCCGACCGAGGATACCTTGACACTAACAGGGCGATCTGGAGGCTTATTTAAACATTTCTCTGGGCAGTGCACTGATGATATTGGGGAAGAGCGAGTTCGACAGATATTTGGAAGGCCTTCAATGGCCCCCTCGAATAATAGTCTGTGGTAGCGGTGAGTGTGCTGATGCTTCCTCTTCTCTCCTCCTAACCGTTTGCTGGCAACTCAAAAAAAATTGAGAAAAGTGCTAAGTCATTTTTGGAATTTTCTGTCCCGAAATCATCTTTTTTTCTATATTTTGCGCTTAAAAACGTCAACTGTCTACTACCTATTTGGTTTCCTATTGCTGCACACAAACCTGGTCCAGCAGTTAACTGGCACCTGTGGAATGCAAGAACGATCCCACAGTTCACATTCCACACAACCACAAGCTTCACTAATGAATGCCTTTGAAAGATTTGGTCACCTTAAGAATCTTGCCACAATTGGGTCATTTTGTTAGCCACGTGGTATCGCCGACGCCTTTAGTTGTCGGCGTCAAGCGGTATACAAACAGTATCCGCAGGTGGTTAGTCTTCCTTCACTAGGCGGTTGGTAATGCCATGACCACGCACCACCTCTGCTGGAGCGCTCCTTACGCCGAGAACCGCTTCACCAACTGGAGTGAACGGGAATAAGCAATTGCTATGATGTGGTTTAATTGTTTGTATCTGCTCTCAACCAACTTGCCAAGTCTTTTAGCTTTCCCGTTGGGAACTATTATAGTGTCATGGAGAGTACAAGGACAAATGAGTTACATCTTTTCCCCTCTCCTGATTCTCCCCTTCACTTTATCAAATTTGAGGGTTTATTTCTTCGAGGACGCTGTTCTTTTGTCCTCGCCAAGAGACAAGCGCTTTTTTCTGATTTGATCTGCAGGAAGCGACAGGGACAGAACACTGAGCTCCAAATCCCCGGGGCTTCTTAATGAAGGGAAACCGTATTTTGCCCCGGAAATTGAAAAAAATATTTTATTGATAGGAAGAGTGAATAGCCAAAAAAACCTTGTCGAGGGAATTGGTGAGGAGAAAAAAGTACTAATTTTATTAGGTAGTGGAAGGAAGTTGGTGAAGAGGATTATGGATTAACCTTAATAAAATGGCTGCGCGATTGTCACTACCGATTTCTACGAACGTTGAAGTCCCTCCTGTCATTGCATAAACACATCGGGATTAGGGCAACTTTACGGCAACAATTCAATTTCGTCTACTCGACTAAACTGAACTGTTAAATTTGTGCAGTGGTGAAACCTATTGTAAGGAAAATTTCGCCCTGCTCAGGAACCACTGAAATTTAAAAGCGTCACTGCAATGAATGTCATTCTCCTAATGACGTGTGTATGTATGCGTATGTCACTGCTGGCTGTCTAGACTGACAGCAGGTGGACGTTTGAGAGAGAGAACTTTCAGGATAGGAGAGGTAGTGGCGTTCAGCGTTTACACGCATGTCATTTCCATGAGCTTAACACCGATGACTGACTGATTAGATAGTTAAACTCTTACTGTTCAAAACAATGAGAAAATCAATTCTTGGTAAATGCATCGCCTGTGCTGATTATTTGAACTCTTCCGGAGTTGGATGCATAAATGGAGGAAGGTCAAAAGGTCATTTGAGTCGGACATGCTCAGATGATGGAAAAGAAAGCTGACAATCCATCAATGACAGGGGTGGGCGTGACTTCAGAACTCACGACCTCATATCGCGTGCCAAAGAGTACTATGGTTTACGAAGGGGTAGGTTGGAGGAAGGAGAGATCTCGCGATCTTTGACACCCCACACGTTGCACTGTCTCTTTAGCATAAAATTTTTAACCTTATTTAAAGGTATCAAAAAAACAACAACAATTTTCGGCTACATTTTATTCATTTTATGGAACGATTGCTATACCTTTAAAATTCTTTAAAGTGGCACTGTTCTGTATTTAGCAAGACTTTCCAAATTGCCCCAACAATCCAAGCGCTGCATTCTAGCCACCTTCAAAGCACTTTATGAATGAACACATTCCTGTCCACTATTCTTTGTTCTACATTCCTCCATCTTTATACAATTTTTTACAAAAAGAAGACGGAGTTTGGTAGTGATGCGCCCAAATCTGCGTGACCCCAATGCGGGTCACCACATATGGTAACATTGGACCTCACAGATGACCTCGGGAATTCTGCCACAAAGAAGTCCTCCATAAATCCTCCCTGTCCACTACCGACGATTTTCGGTGGTTGAAGAGACTTTGGAAAATACAAGCTTAAGAAACCTTGGGAACACCATTAAGTTAAGTTGGGAGTTTGAGTAACCTGTGTGCGCCCTTCGACATACGCTTTCCAGTGAAAGGGTTTTGTCCACAGGGGTGGGATAACAACAATTGCACCCGACCTTGTAAGGCGAAGACTGCAAAGTGGTGGATTATGAATGCCTCGACTGCAAAAAATATTCACGAACTTTAACGTACCTGGAAGGCTTATCACGTCACAAATCAAAAGTGCGTTACTCGTGTAACACAAGGATCCAAATTGTTTACACCTCTTCACAACAATCATCGTGCCTGGGACAAGCACATGGTTTCTCGCCTCCTGATGGGAGTGAAGTCGTCAACCAATTTGTGGAAGTGTTATTATTATCATTAATTCTAAGGACCAACAAGTTCATCCACAATGTAATCAACTTCTGCCAACTTGACACCATGACGATAAAGGATGAGGACAGTGGACCTACCAAGCGCCTACCTTGCCATGCAATTCAGTCCTTCCATCTCCACCTTCGCCTTTTACAGAGTAATATAACATAGATAAAAAGTTTTCTATAGAACATACTTTAGTCACATTCAGGCAACATAACGAAGCCGTCTATTATGCAAATAAAAAAGTAAAGCACCCGTCTCAATTTTGGGTAGTTTTTCAATCCTCGAAAGCATTACGATGTTTGATGAAATAAAATGTCCAGATGGATTACTTAGAAACCCTCAGAAACGAAAAGCAAAGACTAGTTAAAACTTGTTTCCTTTTGAATTTGTCCATTTGTCCTCCCTTTTTTCGAATTCTATAAAACGTCAAGAAGATGCGATGAGTCGTCGTAAACAGTACGCCTTGTGGGGCCCTCGAGAAGAGGTGGAGAATTTAGGCATTTGAAGAGAGAAGACTGCCAAATGGCCAAGGTGGAGACTCCATCGCCTTCCATAAGGTCGTTGAGCGAGCAGAAGGGACGGGCGGTGCCTCGGTGCCTGCTAGCATCATAAAAATTTATGATAATATGTTGTGTCAGGTGGCAAATTATTAACTGAAACTTTTTATCGAAGACGTTATGATTTTCTGGCATTTTTTAAGGACTTATGCGCCTCAGTAGTGGACATAAAGTTGTCGTGGTGACGCGAAATGTTTTTAGGGCACAGGACCTCAAAGACTACCAACGTCAGTTCTGTTGTAAGATCGAAAATCGCAGGATTGTAATGTGAGGCAGGGCAGCAGACGGTACGCATAACAACATTAAGACAGGGAATGTCCCATTGTTTATTTTCCTCCTTTTTTTGCGTCCGTGTGTGTGTGCCGGTGGATAAGAGGTAAGGTGGAACCCAAACGCAATTGTTCTAGGTGTCACAGTTCCGACGTACTAGCTTCCGTCTTTTAGCAGAGCAAACACAGAAAAGACAATGCGACAACGGCCAGAAGTGAACGTGAGGTCAGCGGTTGTCCATTACCACCGGAGATGAAGGAATGCGTCTCCCTAACCCCATCTAAGGTCCTTTTTAAATGCTTATTTTTAAAGGGAGCAGAAAACATAACAATATAAAGGCAATGTTCCAATGTGAATTAAATTTTGTGCAAAATAACGGCATATGGAAGCTTAAAAAAGGTAAACGCCACAGTTGTTCCATAAAATAGTCTAAAACGGCAAAAAAGAATGAAAAAAGAGGGGAGATTTTCGTTACACCCTCAAGGGGCGCAATTCCCAGGGCAGCAGGCAACGTAGATGGACTGAAGGACGCGCCCAGCGTCGTGCGGAAGCACTTAAACGACCGAAAAAAGTACTTTTACGGGGGCCAAATGAAAATCACTTTTTGAAAATTTTGGTTTTCATTGTTGTTTAACTGAACTGTCCTACACTTTCTACCATTCTACTTACCTGTCACCTCCTTTGACGACTGAAAGGAGGATTTAAAAGGCACTTAAGAGTAGGTGAAAGTTTTCTTGGTAAAAACTACCCGAAACCCATTTGTTTCCTTTTTTAAAGCGATTTTGCATCTACCACCAAAATTCTTCAAGTT